CCCCCCCCCCCCCCAGCAACCAACTTCTGCTGCAACCATCGGAACCACGCGCAACCCCTCCCTTCTCCCATATTTTATTTTTACTCTCACACAAATTATTTCCTTTTTATTTTTTTAATTTTTTTTAAAATTTAAAAAACCTTAATTGTAGTTTGTCTATAAGTAGTTAGAATTATGAAAATCTATATTTCGATTATCTTTCTAATTTTTACTATTTCTTTTTAAGTTACAAATATTTAAATAAGTAACTTTTATGACTTTTTTTAAAATAAAAAATTTATTTATTTTTACTTCAATGATATTCTTAAAATACTTAGCTTTAAGTAGTTAGAATTATGAAAATCTATATTTCGATTATCTTTGTAATTTTTATTATTTCTTTTTAAGTTACAAATATTTAAATAAGTAACTTTTATGACTTTTTTAAAATAAAAAATTTATTTATTTTTACTTCAATGATATTCTCAAAATACTTATCTTTAAAAACTAACACACGACTTCAACGGAAATTATAAAAAAAGAATAGTGAGATAAAATACAAATATGTTTATTGTATTTAATTTTTTTTATTATTTAAACAAAATTAAATAAAAATTTATAGCAATAAATTAATAATAAATAATATAAATGTTGTGAAAGAAAGAAATAATAATAATATAATAAAATCATTAATTTTTTACTTAATTTTTTTAGTTAATATAAATTGAATTTGTTTTTAACTAATATAAAAACTTTTATATTTTTTATTTATTTTTTATAATTATTTAAAAATTACACTTTTGTTCTTTTCACGCATTTAAATAATATATTTTATTAATGTGTGGAAGCAAGATCCACTCATTTTCAATTTCAATTTCCTTCTTCATTCACACAATCGTGTTTTCTATTTGCTATTATTTTATTTTATTTTTTCACTATTTAACTTTTAATCTACAAAAAAGTATGAATTGAAACCGAGGATTTTCTTACCATTTTGCATGTTTTATTGGATTTTGAATATCTAACGGGCTTCGGCTTTGGGCTTCCATTGCCATTTAGTGGCATTCCCAACAATGGCCTGTTTTGATTCAAGACGATTGCTATTTATATTCCCTTTTTGTTAATACACTTTACTTTTATATTTTTTTTAAAAATATTTTCCGGAATAACTTAATTATCTCTAAAGGTGGGAGGATCTATTAAAAGAAATTAGCTCTTTAAATAAACTTTAGTATCTCCAAGTATTAATATTTGGCTTATAATCAGGGAATACCTTTTTTTTTTTTTTTTTTTTAAGAATACCTTTCATTTCAATTGAGTGAGTGGGATTCATTCTATTTTAAGAGGAAAAAATCCTTTTCTTTCTTTCTTTCTTTATTCTTCTTCTTCAGAAAATATTTATTCGTATAACCATTTAGTATAAGAGTAATTATTATCTTCAAAAGAAATTAATAGTTAAAGTCTAATTCCTTTTAAGATGTAGATACCATTAAAATAAGTTTACTTCTCTTGAAAAAATTATTTTCATACACATAACTAAAAACTGAATGAACATCTCAATTATAAATTTAGATCTTGTTAAACATTATAATATATAATATTAAGTTGTAAATAATTTATATGTATAATCAATGCTCGTAGATAATATCATCTCTCTTGCCTCGGGTAGAACCCAAGTCACTTTAAATATGCTTGCTAATCTCATACAAATGATATTTATAATATCTAGTTAGAATTCGTCAGAAAAAAATAACAAATAATATAGATGATTCTAAATCATACTTACATACTTTAGCATTTTTGTCGTGCATCACATTCATCTCATGCTTATGTCTATAAAACTTTGCTTTGTGTCATCTCAGAATGTCCCTTTTCAAAACTCTTGTTTAAGCCAAGTAACACATATCCTAAAGTCCAAAAATATATATAACTTTGCTTTGTGTCACCTCAGAATTCCCTTTTCGAAACTCTTGTTTAAGCCATGTAATACACATGCTAACGTCCAAATTAGCGACAATGAACGATGGATATGGAAGCTCACCTAAGATTTTTCATAAAGATGCTTTTTACATAGGCACGTGTCTGTAATGCCAACAGCATTTTTGCATTTCTACCATAAAATAATACAGATACAGTGGAGATTGAGAAATAATTAAGAACCCCAACGTGGGATACCATCTTTCCATGTTTCTTAATCAATGCCATCACATGCCTATGTTCATATTTAATGATTAAATGTGTACCAATCTTAGGGTTGAGGGACGTCGGTATACACATGACACTGAATGTTCCCTCATTGCTCTTAACAATTTCATTAAAATAACATTAATGTTGTCTTCAACGTAACAATAACATCAATCCACGTCTTACGCCGCAAGATGAAATTCAATGGTCTGCTGCACATGCCATACCCGTGTGGGACTCCCATTTGAAGATGTTATTTATAACTTATTGTAAAGTTCAAATTTATTAATAAATTATTTATGATGTTGACCTTGCACTTAATGGATGAGGAAAAGCATTAAGCTTTCTTCAATCAATAGGCAAATTAATTATTTAATTCCAACGTAGTAATTATTCTTGAGGCATGGCATTGACATCCTATGCATTTACTACGCTTGGCATATTGTAGCAGCTAGATATTCTCAGCACCTTTTTGCTTCGCAGTTGGCACCATCTATTAACTTTGGTTTCAAGGGAAAACTAAGTTAAAAATATATCACCGAGATTAATGATCGGAGAATAATAAATTTGTTTCGGTTCATAAAATATGAGTTTTATTTTCACTGTCCATGTGTAGATCTTATTGGTAAATATTCATATCTTAATAAGTATTTTAAGTTTCGATACATGTATTGACTTTATTGTGAAACCCAACTCATTTAAACTTTTATATACTGAATTGAAAAGTTGAAAGGGCATATTCCCTTGTGGTGCTATATATCTTAATTTATCTATATATATATGAGGAAGCACATGAGGGTGGCCATGAAGCATCATTTCATTGAAAACCAATAAGGCCTTAGCTTTCTTTCTTTCTTTGTTTCCTTTGACATTGAATTAGAGAAGCAAGCAAGTATGAGAAAGAGCCAATTCCAACCTTCAGGCCACAACAAGCAAGCCTTTTCATCAGAAGAGCAAAAGAAGAGAAAAGCTTCAAGTGCAGGTGGTGGTTCAGATGATGGGGCAAAAAAAGCAGAGGCCACTGAGAAAACGAAGCCAATTGAAGACATCAACGCCAGCGCTGATGCCTTCATCAAGAACTTCAGGCAGCAACTCCTCATCCAAAGGCTCCAATCCATGGAGAACTATGAGCAAATGCTCGCAAGGGGACTCTAGTTAGACTACATATAATACTCTCTTCGACCCTTTTTATTATATACTATTATTTATTTCTTATTAAAAAAAATCAAAGAGAATCTAAATATTATATTTACTTAATTTCTGCATATATATATAAGCTATTATGTATGATTTGTTGTTTATTTTAATTACCTTTCTTTATTAAGCATGGTTTACAAAGAAATAAGGAGCAGAATAGCAGGCACTCCCTGCCAAAATGGTGCACGAATGAATTGTCAGTAACAACAATGTATATTATTCATTTGGCTTATATTATGGAGTAGCATCTTCGTACAATGGAAAGTATATATTGTTTTAATATATACTTCTTCTTCTTCTTTTTATTTCTTCCCATTTTCATGCATCATTTAATGGTTTATATTAGCATTAATATGGAATCTTGTCTGATCTTTCACATAAGGATTTCCACAAGCGAAATCATTAAGCTAAATTGTTTCTTTACACTTCTCAAAACATGAAAAATAATAACATAAATGGTTGATGAATGACGGACTCTGTTAGTTATATTAAATGATGTTTAGCTTCTTTCATGATAACTAATAAGTTTACGTTATTTTTTGGATTAGAGATGGTTTTAACTTTTAAAGAGTTGGATTTATGAGTCCGCTTTATATTTACAATAGGTCTTGTTACGATTAGATGGCCAATAAATCTAATTAGAGTGCTCATCTTTTTAATTTGATATTCCTTAAAATTGAACTTGATTTTTATAAAACATAAATTTTATCTACAGTTTTTTGCCGCCACTTTTGAATGGATACCAAACTATTTCTGGAAGTACTACCCTTTAAATTATATGGCTTAAAGGTTTTGTTTGAATTTGTTTCAAACATAAAATAGATTTATTTAAGAATAGTTAACGGGTTAACTTTTGAAATGGCCTAACATGCAATGAAATTTAGAACAAAACATAAATATCCTTTTTAGAAAATGGGCATACAGATAGTTTGGTCTTAGGCCCATCAAAGGTTATTTGGGCTCAGATCTGCAATTGCTTTCAGTCACGCGGTACCCATCAGAACACGCCCGCTTTCGATTCTGATCCCTCACCCCAAAGTAACATGTATTATTGTATTATTATCAAATCTACCTTTAGTCTCCATTTTTAATAATCATTATACCTTTTAAATATAAAAAAAAAATTCTTATATATCTTTTCTAAATAATTATATACAATTTTTTAATATTCTATCTATGTATAACTATTAGTCTCGACCTTACTAGTATATATATTGTATAAGAATTATATTATCAGAATATTTCTCGATAATAAGAAAAATAGCTAAAAATTATATAATGATAAATAGAGCATTGTCTTAAAAGGAAAAAATGAGACAGGTACCACCTACTATAAAATTATTGCAAATTAAACAAATCATTATTATGAACTTATATACGCCTTTAGAATCAAATACTAAACTGAATGTAGAATGCATGACGCAATGCCACAGTTATAGGAATCAGAATAAATGAATAAGGACATCGCATTCAAATCCTTATAATTAGTATTTTACTATTTTTTTAATAAAAAATTTAGATTAAAGTAAGACACAATTTTATGCATGATTAGAGTCAACTATCAACTTTTTTTTAAGACTTATAGTGAAATTATAGATTGCTTACCTTATAGATTGTCTATCTCATCCCTATCATATAATGGAAGTTGAATTCAATCACACAAATTTTAATTAATTAAAATAAAAAAGACTTAATCAATTCTATTATATTTACAGAGTCAACTAGTATATGTGATGTACTGATGTATAAGATAAATATTCATTTTTATATAATTAAAATTAATAAGATAAATAAATATTTTTAACATTTAAACTGTATTTTAAGTTCACGATAAAAAATTATATTACGGTTACGAGATTATTTAAAATAATTGATAGTTTTTTTTTATAAAAAAATTAAATTTAAAAACAATAAAGGGTAGATTTAAAAATTAAGCAATTAAAAAACTAATTTATATCGATAAATATAAAATTAAATTAAAATTGAAATTAAAATTAAAAACAAAATTAAATGCTCATAAAAATACTATCATTTGAGAATAACTGCTAAAAAAAATTAGCTTTTCTTGTATATTAACATTCGATTAAAAAGATTGCCGTCTATAATAATTTTATACGATTCAAACACGTTTATAGAAAAAAAAAATACATGTAATTTATATATAAAAAATCACAAAGTATTATATTAAATATTTATTAATTCTTATTAGAAGAATTATTTTTAAAAAAATTATATTGGTTAAATGCAAAAGAGAAGAATACAATAAAAGAAATTCTATGGTACCCATCTTATTTAAGAAGGTATCGGTACAGTTTTTTATATTTTATATTTTTAATATTTTATTTAAATAATATTTATGATATTTTATTTTTTTTAATTTTTAAATTATTTAGTCATCTTATTTTTTTTATATATTCTAATTTATTTGTAATAATATTATTATATATTTAAATAGTTTAATTTTAATAATTTTTTAAGTATATTTTTATCTTTTCATTTAAAATTTTTGAATTTTTATATTTTAATTTTAATAATTTTTTAAGTATATTTTTTGTCTTTTTGTCTTAAATTTTTAAATTTTTATATTATAATTTTAATAATTTTTTATTTCTACTATTTATTAATTTTCTTTTCTTTAATATCTTATAAAATATTGAAATCTTATAATTTTAATCTCTATAACTTTATCTTACTTTTTATTTTATAAGTATAAGTTGAATTATTCATTTTATAATTAAATTAATTTTTTTTAAATTTTTTATAAATTTTTATATAGGAAAATATATTGAAAGGATACCGTAACAACTTCCATACAATAATGCATAAAAATTAACCTCATTAAAATATAACACACATTTGGAATTAAAGTTTTTGAAATAAAAGTTTATTGAGAGGTGGAGCAGGTGGTGCATTAAATTCAGCATGTGTCATGTGATTTTAGGCATAAATAAATAATTGCGACCAAATTTGCATTGGCCGAGTCAGCTTTTCTGTTTGTGTTGTTGGCGCTGAGTCAGCTTATCTATACTTTCAATTTGTTATCCGACTCAGCTAAAAGCATTTATTTCTATATGAGTAGGCCTATATCAAACACCACTTTATCAGAAAATCATTCATGCATACATAGTTTATATAGTTTTTACACCCTTATATATAATTAATTTTTATAATAATTATTTTAAAATTATATTAATAATATTCTTTAATTGAATACATGCAATTTCTGCACTGATGTGCATGAAAATTAAACTTATACATTCATGAGTTTTATTATGATTCACCAATTTCATCACCTAACTTTGCCCATGATGGTTGCTTCATTCTATACACATGATTAGTTATTGATTTGAAAATTATTCACGAAATGTTGCTCATGTAATTCAAAGAGTGGACAAATTAATATGTACAGCATTTATATCATTTATATTTTCCAGTATAATTTTTTCTGATGTACAAGGTTGCAGAGGATTACTGATATATTTTTGTGTTTCACCAGGCACCGATTGAATGTTTCCACTTAACTAATATATTTTTCTGCTTCACCAAACCATAGCAAGTTTACATATCTTAATACATACTATTTTTTCTTTATATGTTATTTTAAAATCAAAAGTTTAAAAATGAAATTATCTTGTTTTTTATTCTCTGTTTTAATTGAAAGATTTTTTAATGGAAGGTAATAAAGTAAATTGAAGAACAAATCAATGATAAAATGATTACATAATATAAAGTATATTTAAATGCTAAACCTTTTGTTTTATAGTTCAGACTTACACATATATTATTCTCTATTTGAAGTGTTTTCTACATTTATACGGAATAAACAAATTACAATATCCGTATAATAAATCATTAAAATTTCAAGTTATCTAAACTTAATTGCTAAAATTCAAAAGGCTTACTTTCTCAGTTTTTATCTTCAAAACCTAACTTAATTTGTAACTCCATAAGAAATAACTCATCAATTATGTGTGGACACCTTATATTCCATTTGATACCTAAAAGCTAAAAAGATAAAGAACAAGTAGATAAAATTACAGACGTACATGATGGGTAATAAGATCTATAAAAAGAAGAAATTAATCAACAAGAAAAAAAAAAGATATCATTTTTCTTAAAATGTATGACCTTCACATCAACTCTTCCCCCAGAAGTTGGAATCAGAAAACTAATTAGATACAATAAATGATGCAAGAAAGGGTAAGCAAAGGAAAATTCATTTGGGAAGCTGATTTACATGGTAGAAGGAAGATAATATATATACCTTATGATAAGAAGAAAGTAGCGAATTGTAGTTGTACTTTATTGGTGCAAAACAAGAAAAAAAGACATCGATAATCAAGAAAGCATGAAAAAAGGGAAGAGTTGGTGTGTATAAGTTAATTTTCCAGCTTAACAATTTGATGTATCTTTGGCTGCTGAAGCATCTGAAAGTTCACTCGGGAGCATGACCTTACCATCTCACCTGCTATGGGAATCACAGGAAGGCTATCACAGTTGCAAATCTCAATCATGAATCCATCTGGGTCGTGAAAAAATAACTGATCCACTTGGATTCCACTTTCTTCAACCGTTGCACGCACGTACTCAATCTTCATCTCCTCAAGCTTATTCTCCACTGCTCCCATGTTTTCACACTATTTTTTTAAAAAAAAAATTCATCCATCACAACATAATATGCTAGTTTCCTTAACCATAACAAGCGCATGTCACGAGTAGAAGTGAAAAATCAATGAGAATGCTGGGTTTAGAACTTGAAAGTTGAAACCAATACAAACAATTTCACACTAAAAAATTATATATTTAATTTCGTCTGTCTTGGCATTTTTATCTGCATTTGACTAGTTGTAAAGTAATTAAGGAGGTTGGAAATGTTGATCTTATTATGAGACATAAAGAATGGCATGATCACTTGACCCATCACCACAAATTTGAACATTAAAGCCTTACCTGAAAAGATATATGATTATCCTTGGGATTAATTTTTGTTTTTCTTGTAACCTTGTTTGGATCCTCAGCTTGCAGCAAATGGATTCCAATTCCGTATCCAAATAGCCTGGTAAAGAAAGTGAGAAATTAGAAGATAATTAAAGTTATGGAAAATTAATGATATGATATGATATGACATACCATGCTCCATCAAAATCAAATGAGCCTGGTCTCCTGATGGGGAAAAATCCGAGAAGGTTTTGGTAGAAGTTGATGGATTGGTCCACTGATGTGCAGACAAGGGAGATGTGGTTAACAGACTTAAGGTGCAGAGGGTTTGCTTCCTTTTCTTTCATTTTGCACTTCAAAATAAAATACCAAAACTATGAAAACAAATTCAAGTATTCTGAGTTCTGAGTTGTGAGTTGTGAGAGAGAAAATGAGTGTGCCCTGTGCTGTGCTATATAGAGGCCACCGCCACCTATGTGCCACGTGTCAGCGTCAGGTGGATTTTACTGACACATCATTCCCACGCATGCTCTTTCAATCCATCACCTTTTCCTCATTTTCTTTTATTCAACAACAAACCTCAAAACTAAATACAGAATATAATTATATCTTTTTCTTCTTAATTATCCCATTATATACAAGGAAAAAATAATAATATTTATATAAATTTACAAAAATATTTCTACAAAATATTATAAATTATAAAAATTAAAGATTATCACATATATTCCTACAAAAAAATTACTTGAACCAATTAACTAACTACGTGTTCTAATTTTTCATGGGAATATGGAAACATTCTCGAGCATTTTTAACAGTTAGCCATTTTTTTTAAATGTCATTTTCATGTTATATTTATGGGAATAACATTCTTCAGAACGAACTAAAACGCTTCTTAAAATATATTCTAAGAGAAACAAGTTTTTTTTAAATTAAATTATATTCTTAATTTAATTCACACTTTTAATCTCTTAAATTTTAAATATGTAATTTTCGCTATTCATTAAATGTTTATTTGTTAACGCTATAATATTAATTATAATTTAGCATTAGATAAATCTCGCAACAAAAAATATTTAGAGTTATATATGTTTTAAGTTCCATTAAATATCACTCTATCTTTTTTTTTCCATCATTTTTTGATCTTTGAAACTTTTTACTTTTTCTTATATATCATTAACTCTAGTTATTTTAATGTTAAAATAGCTAAAAATATTAATTACGATAATTAAGATAACAAACAATTGTTTTTCAAAAAAGATAACAAACAATTAATTTCAACATTTTATGTGTATTATTTAATTAAGTAATATATTTGTTATTTTATATAAATAAGATAATTATATATAATTATTTTATAATTTTAATATATTTTGAACAATAGGTTTCATTATTTATGATATGGTTTTTACTTTTCAATCTACTAATCTACTTTTTAAAACTTACTCTTTTTTTTTCTATTTCAAAACACGTATCATGATAAATATAATAAATATAATAAAATCCTATAAATCACATATTATTAACTACAATAACTTAATACTTATACTAAAATATGGCAATGATTAAAATGGATAGATGTATTTTTCAAATTGAGTTTTCACCTCTTATGTCTATAAATAAAAACTCTACACAACCTCCAATGTATTTTCTGTGAACTTTGCTATATATTTCAATCTCAAATTCTCTCTAACTTGAATCTTGAAATATATATAAGTGTCATCATGGCAATTAATACGAAAATTTTACCTTCTTGCCAACCATCACTTCATACGACCACCAAAAATGTTTTTTTTTTCCAACTTCTTATATTTTTAATTTACCATCTTTATTTATATTTTCAAAATAATTTTAATATTTTAAAAAAATTAATAATTTAAATATTTATCATAAATATAAAATATTGTTTATATGATAAAATATATATATTTATCATAAATTTTAATTATAATATAATTTTTACGTTTAATTACGGTGAGGAAATTAGATCAATCTAATTGGGGGTGGATTTGACTCATTTAATGCGTGAAGGATTACACTCTATATAAAAAACTACGATAATAATATTTATTTAAAAATTAACACTGATAATAATAATAATAATTAATTATATATTTTATTATATATAAATTTAATTATTATATATCGATTATGTCAGCACTTTATTATCTGAATTATGTCCCTCATTTTAAAAAAGTCAACTTTGGTCAATATATATATAAAGTTATTAAATAATATATTTTTAAAAAAAAATTGTTATTAAATTTATCATATTATTAGTTACCGTAAATTCAAAATTTTATAATTATAAATTTGGCCCTTGATTATATTCGATTTTCAACTTATTAAATATGAAGTCATCATCGAAAATACTATTTTATGTTTATAAGATGAAAAAATATATTATATATAAAGAGGGTATAGAATGAGTTAAAGGAAAAAGTAATTAACTGTAGAATCTTAAAAAAGTAATTGCACAAATTTCACATATTAATTGTTTAATTATAACAAGTATTTTTTTATTGAATATACAAATACAATGTCCTTTGAGAATTTGTTAGATACAAAATAGTTAAATGAGTATCTCAATACAACTTAATTTTCTGAATTTCTAAGAGATAAAATCCACAAGAATCAAGATTTAAACGATATTCGTTTAATTTGAAATAGCAATTTTACTGAGACTAAAATCAACGCATGAATTAAATATTGTTTGTAAGTCACTTAGCAGTACTCATGAACTAATAGATTTGTTCCATAAAAATTACTATTCGAAAGCTATGTGTTATAGGACTTAGTTATGTTTTCCTCTTGATCTAAAGTTCTCTACACTGTTATTGTATTTTTTTTTAAATACTATTATTGTATCGTAATGCTTCCTCCAAAATGATTTAAATCCCAAAAGCACCTTTTTATTTTTTATTTTTTCATTTTCATTTCTATTTGGATGTAACTGATTGTTCAGTAACCGAGCATAACACACTTGATCAAAAATATCTATTTTCAATTCAGTATTTCGATGTGGCCGATTGTTCAATAATTGAGTATCTGGTATATTGTTTTTATATTAAATACTGGGTCACTACATTAATGAAACATTTGATATCTGCGTGAAGTCACGAACAAATCAAATCTTTGTCCGCAAAAAATTCGAGCAGAATTCAATTATGCCATCATGTGCATGCAAGTGATTAATATTGCCACTCCTTCATCATGGATATTTCAATTTCCAACTTAATAATTTAGATCAAACTCTAGAAATTGACAAACACGTAATTAAATGAACTGTTATAGTACATTTGTTTTAGTTTAATTAATGTTATCATGCTTAAATTCTAAATATACACGTGTATTAAATATGTTGGGACTCGCAATAATCTTCTCCGACTTTAATAAACAATATAAGAAATGTCACTTTGCTGATATCTTAATTTTTTTCATATGATAAGAGGAGTACAATTAAAAACGACGAACAAGAAGAAATAATATATATTTTTTTAATTTTCGTCATATTTCTATCAAGGTAGTCAAGTGGGTCGGAATTTGTTTTTTTTTAAACCAATTCTATATTTTTCTTGGTCCATGTTCCCTACAGATCATTTTCTTGTTTTAAATTCACCCTTGAAGATTTTTCTAACATTATTTCATAGGTCAGTGTCCATGCATAGTAGTATGAATTAATTTCCATTATTTTCTTGGTCCATGCATGAATGAACACGTTATGAAGAAGTAGCATCAAATAAAAATAAATATGGTCACCCTGATTGAGTTTGGGATACGAAGCACGATAAACCACTTGGACAAGTAAATTATAATAACTTTGGTGACCTAATTAATGTGTGTGGAAGCAAGATCCACTCATTTTCAATTTCAATTTCCTTCTTCATTCACACAATCGTGTTTTCTATTTGCTGCTACCCACTCACTGGCTTTACAATAATATTCATTATGAGTCATCGGTTGAACCGGATCGAATATCAAGAAAAAAAATTATGAGGGTACACTCGTAATCTTCAGGGGAATATGAGGACCGAACGAGAGCTCTAGGTGGATTCTTCGGAGGGGGAGGTACCTGCAAAAGATACTCCGATGCTTAAGTCAGTGTGGGCACGATTTTCTAGGGTAATGAATGAACAGTGACATACCTTGTTAAGTGTGACTTATTTATAGCATCTGACATGGGCCTGAGCGTGATGGGCCCTCTCAGATATTTACCAAATTAGGTAATACGGTACTAATTGGTCGTTTAGGCTTTAATCATGTACTTACCTTTCTTGATTGTGATTACTTGTTATGACTTGCTTAACCCTTCGGCAAGAGGCCGAGCCGGCTAATCAATACTAGTCGGAACGGCAAATGACCGAACCGTCTAGTCCGTATACGGCAGCCTGTATACTTCCGGTATGTTCTATGTCGGAACGGTACCTGACCGAGCCGACTCGATGAATGATGATGGTCCATATTTGCATTAACCAGACTGATGTCGGTTCTCGGCCTCATGCCGAGCCGACGTTGATGGTGATGCTTGTACGTGGCTATGCATGGGTGTCTGACGAAATGGCACGTGTTGGCCCACGTGACCGATACGGTCTCTCCGGTACATATTTTAATTTTTTTACTCATCAAAATTATAATACCCACAACAGATTTAAACCTAAAATTCTGTATATGTATATTATTCTAATCTATCATCACTAATTTCGGTTTACTTAGCTTAATATTTAATTGATTTGGCTTTAAATTATAAATAATAAAGAGGTTATATTAAAGGAGGAAAGGGTGAGGGCCAAAAGAGTGAAAAAGAATGTTGGGGCTGGGCCTGGGCTTGGGCCTTGGGAGTGAAAAAGCGGTGGCTGAAGTGAAGAGTGAAGAGGTTGGATAAGCATATGGTTAGGGTTTTTGGTTGCGAAAGAGAAAGAGAAAGCAATGGAAGGCGTAACAGAGGGAGTGAACAACATCAGCATCAACATGAACGATTCGTATAAGAAGAATCGCATTCAGGTCTCTAACACCAAGAAGCCCCTCTTTTTCTACGTCAATCTCGCCAAGGTATCACTCCATTTCTCTGCATCTCAGATTTCCATCATCGCCACCTCTTTCACTCACCTTTCATTTTCATTTTCTTCCAAAAATAAATAAATACCTTAAATAAGAAAACAAATGGAACACAAAATGAGAGTATTTTGTCTATTATTTTCATCGGAAAGTTTTTGCCCTTTCCTTCCGAAAGTGAAAATCTCTTTTTAAAATAAATTCACTAATTCATTTATTTCTTAATTTTGTGTAATACGGGAAGGATTATATCTCTCTTCTTTTCTTTCTACCAAGTTTCATTCCTCTTTTTTTTTTTTTTTTTTCCTATGCAAACAAACAATGTGTAAAACCTATTTCGTTCACATTTTCTTTAATGTATTGTTTAATTGATTATAAGTTCATTTTTGGGAATGTAAACATGGATATGTAATATATTTTCATGTTTATTAAAAATTTTGTAAAGTCATTTTTTGGTATTATTTATTTTTGGAAAAATTATCCTATCATGTTTTCACCATTTTTTCCCATGTTGAGGGGATGAGAAAATGATATTCCATGGAAATATGAAAAACTATGTTTTAACACACTTGTCATTTTTATTTTATTTTTTTATATTATTTAAAAAATAATAATTTAAAAATATTTTGAGGAATAGTAGAATACAATCGAACAATTTTTTTTTTCAAATCCACTTTAATCCATCTTCCTTCCTATTAAGTCACTCTACCAAACATACTTTTGTATTTAAGTTTACTTATTATTAATTTCACATTATAGTGTATTTCCTTTAAACTTTAATATGTGTAAATATGCAACTAAGTTACTACTTAACTATAAGTTTTCATTGTGAGGGAGTTTGGACAAATAAATAGATCAAAGATGTAACAGCTTACCAACAAAAGTTAGTCCAATTAGTAAGGAATAAACTCATATTTAAAAAAACACATTATAGGTTGAATTTTCACTGTTAATGTAAAGATCTTATTAATGAGTAATTTATAAGTATCTCTTTAAGTACTTACGAACTATATAAAGTTTTGTGATTCTCTCCTGTTCTTGATAAGTTCTTGAAATCTAATTTATCTAAACTTTCTAATACCAAAAAAAGAAAGAAAAAAAAAACGTAACAAGCTGACCTCAATGGTTTAGGAAATAAATCACAATTTATGTCTACCACGTTTCTATTTCCATGCACGAGGACCAACATCAATGATTATTACACAAGTTTTGCTCCCTCATAATGTAGTGTCACGTTTTGCACATTCAAGTGAGTTGCTAACATACAAAGTTTTAATGACCAAGATGATGTGATGAACTTGAAAGTCTTGAAAGTCTTACTCTGATCTGATGAAGGATAGATACTATGTGTATGGAGCTTTCCATATAATCTGTATGAAATGAAATTGTCTTGTTGAACGCTAGGCTTGAATGTCCTCATGTAGCATATGTTTTATCCTATTCATAAACACTGAGGACTCACTTACATGTTTTCAAATTTCAAAACTGATTAGCATATTGGGAATGAAATGCATTTTTGCCCATGTATATTAATTCAACCTGCAAACAACCTATATCCAAATTTCGAAGCCAATTGAATTGCTGGTTTCCTTCTGCTTCTCTCTCGGCCTCCCTTCAAGGAAATTTCCCACTTGAAACCACCTAACTTGTTTTCAGATTCAAGTGTCTCATTGCTATGACAAGTTGTCACAATCACAATAGAGAATCTACATGCATCAATTATTAAGAAAATAGATTTATACCAATTTCATTTTTATAAAATTAGTCTGTAAAATAAAAGTTATTTCTGACTTGTATATTCTATTTTATCATACAATTCATTAATATAAAATTTTCAACAAATTTTCTTTATATTAAAGATCGAACATCTCAAATATAGAACTTAGAGAATTAGACATATCTGAGAATAGTTTGATGATAATTCAATGATGGATAATCTAATAAATCTAAAAACAATTGTTAGAGTAAGATTTTATGCTATTTTAAAATTTATGAATTTAGAGCCAATTTTATAGATGAATTAAATTCAAGTTCATTTTCTTAAAATGAATGCTCATTTTAGGTAGGAGTTCTTATCCAATACTTTTTGTTTTTAATTTATCTTGATAAGGGTGGGAGATGAGCAAAACAATGTTGCGGAGGCAAACAAAAAAGGCAAGTTGTGAAAGCAGTCACACTGTCAGAGTGTAAAATTAACAAAAAGGCCGAGGAGTGACCCAATTCGAAATTTCGTATTGGACAGACGAGACAAATTCTATGGTACAAAAAGTACACTTGTATTACATCAGGACAATACTTATATACGGTGTCCATTCTATGGTACAAAATTATTTATATTTAGATTATACATTTTTTATAGAATATTGAGATTCAACTTAGATGTATAAGATTGATGTATATTGGTCAAGTGTTTGTGTTACATGTTCCTATTGAACAAGCAACTAACTAAACCAACAAATGAGCAAATTCTCGTAAGATTCTCTCACCAAATCAACGATGGTCCGAATCTGACACAAAATGAAGAACCTCAAATATTGTTCTCCTTCAACACTTATTATTATCTTCATTCACATAAATATACTTGTTACTTCATGTCTCACTCGTGCAGAGGAGTTTGATACTGTTATCAAGCTCCCACGTTCAGGGTTGAGAAGAACAAGATCTAGATGGGTTCTTTCTGTCGGTGATTATGGTGCAGAAGGGGACGGGGTTCATAATGACACTGAGGTAATCCGTAATGGTTTTATTTTATAACTATCGAGTTTCCTTTTATCTCTTTTTTTGTCCTTCGTTTCATTCCCCACAATTGAAATGCTCATTTATTGTTTGAAAACCACAAACTTTTTAGGTTTTGAGCTTATTTGATGTTGTGGTTTCATGATCGAGAAAATCTAACTTTGTTGACCGACAATTATGAACATCATAATGCTGTGAGTAAGTAAATATTTCTAGGGATTCTTCTTCAGTAGGAAAATCAATTACAGTTAGGGAACCAATTGGCTTAAAAGTTTAAGTTGAGAGAGATTGAGACATTTATTAGAGTGTCAACCAGTGAGTGAGAGTGATTGGGGTGGTTCTTAAAACTAGGGCAAAATATTAACTATTAAGATTCATGTCTTGCAAAATGTTTAAGTCTTCTAAATCAATGAAAATAAGCATGCGAAATAATTGATCATTCATGTAGCACGATGTGATCCATTAAGCTTGTCCTGATTTAGTTTATTTATCTTTTCAGGCCTTCCTGGAGGCTTGGAATGTGGCTTGTTCTCTCCCTGGATTTATAAATGTGGTTTTTCCATATGGGAAAACTTTTCTTGTCCATCCAGTTGACATTGGTGGGCCTTGTCGATCTAAGATCACTTTGAGGGTATGCTCCCATTTGTTATCCGCTCTTTCCAATTCCTGAATGAAGTATGTGTCTTTATAGATAAAGATTTATTTTCTTGATTATTTTCAAATTTATTATAGATCTCAGGTACAATCGTTGCACCACCAGATCCTGCAATGTGGCATGGTTTAAATCAGCGCAAATGGCTTTACTTCCATGGGGTGAATCACCTTACTGTAGATGGTGGAGGGAGGATCAATGGAATGGGACACGAATGGTGGGACAGATCTTGCAAGACCAACTCCACAAATGTATTGCTTCCTAGAAAGCTTAAATTCATATTTTGTTCAAGTTTAATCAACTGTGTAACTAAAGTGATTTCTAAATGTCCTTTCGCAGCCATGTCATCCTGCTCCAACGGTTAGTGGCGCTTCAAAATATAGAGCAAACAAGATCTATTTCCTGATTTGATATGTGGTGGGAGGGGAATTGGGATAGTATGAGTAGGGTTTTAAATTCAAACTTTGTCACCATCATTGTAATTCCTTTGGATAAAAAAAATATATAGTTTTCGTGATCTGATGTGTTTTATTGGCTGAATATGAAACAAACATTCACACTGCAGGCATTGACTTTTCATAGATGCAAGGATCTGAAAGTCAGAAATCTTATGCTGTTAAATAGCCAACAAATGCACATGTCATTCACCAACTGTATGCGGGTAGTAGCATCCCGTCTCAAAGTATTAGCACCTGCTTTCAGTCCTAATACTGATGGAATTCACATTAGTGCAACAAAGGGAGTTGAGATCAAGGATAGTGTAATCAAAACAGGTACCTTATCCTCAACCAAGTGCCATATTAGCTTTACTTATTTTGAATGACATTATGGTCTTAGCAGTAATGTTAGCATGCTATTTACACCAGATAATAGTTTTCATATAGTGTTATAAAATAACTCGTCATATAATAGATGACAACATACCTCCTGTTAATAAAAATTAGGATAAGCAGAATGACATTAGATTCAATGTTTTTGAGATCCTACGGTAACAAAGAATAAAGTAAATATCTTATAAGATTTTCTTTTTCCTGATAACGTAGCTGTCTGAATTTTTTCCCTTCGTTGGTGCTAAAAGCTGCCTCAATTTCATGATATGCATCTAAATGCTTAATAATGTTAATTTCAGGATGTATAGCCTTTTACTAATATTGGACCAAGTTTGATGTTGTCAAGAGAAAAGAAAGATCAGAAAAGTAAAATGCACGTAAAACTTGAACGCTAGCAGGAAATAGTGTAATTCTGAAACACTCTGCATGTGTAAGTTATTTATAAAATTGGACGGAAGTCCAACGTAAGAGCATTGATTACTCTAATTACTGACTCTAGTGATCAAGTAATATATCAGAAGAAAAAAATTTCAATCCATAATGTTCAATTTCAGGTGATGACTGCATTTCAATAGTCAGAAATTCTTCACGGATCTGGATCAGAAACATCTCTTGCGGTCCTGGCCATGGCATAAGGTGAGAGTAATTTCCACTTTGCAGTTCTCTAAGAGATTTAGTGGTATAATTGTTAATGGATACTAAAACTAATATATTTTTCAGCATTGGAAGCTTGGGAAAATCAAAGAAATGGGAGAAAGTGCAAAATGTAATTATTGATGGAGCTTATCTTTACAATACTGATAATGGGTTGAGAATCAAAACATGGCAGGTAAGTTTCTTGACAACTGTAGCACATTCTTTTTATATGTCACCAAGCAATGTACAAATTGATTGACTTGTCTCAAATTTTCGTTAGGGTGGGAGTGGCTTTGCTTCCAAGATCACATTCCAGAATGTCTTAATGGAAAATGTGTCGAATCCAATAATAATAGATCAATACTACTGTGATTCGCCACATTCTTGTAGAAATGAGGTATATATTTTTTGAAGTTTTCGCGGGCTCATTCCGTAAATTTACCTATGTATGGAATGGTTCATTTATTGATGGTTTGGTTGGAGTTATTCTACTGCAGCTCAAATATGCTGTAAGAATGTAATGTCCTGTATCAAATTGCAGACTTCTGCTGTCAGAGTGGAGAATATATCCTTCATTGATATACAAGGAACTTCAGCCACCGATGAAGCAATTAAATTTGCTTGCAGTGATGCCTCTCCATGTGAAGGTTTATATCTAGAAAATATTTTTCTTGCATCATGCTTTGGAGGAAATACCAGCTCTTTCTGCTGGCAAGCTCATGGTTCTGCTCGAGGTTTTTTGTATCCTCCTACCTGTTTCCCAAGCAGTGATGATGATTTTATCAGACAGAATGTCTTGTTAGAGTCAAACGATGCAAACCCTGCTATTCATTCCGTTTGAATATAAGGTTTTCTGTGCAGATAGATTAAAGTAGTTCATGAATTCCCCGGTAATTATTTTGTAGACTACTGTTTAAGAGGAAGGCAGATATGGTGAACGCTTATGATCCGTATAAGATGTTAATTTTGTGATGAGTTATTTTCCTCATTCCTTGTCTTATCTTTCTGGTCAAATCCCAATTACGCTAATGATCTAGTTGTCTTTTCTCATCTAGTGTCTCTAAACATCAAGATTGAGTATCTACTAAAAAATTATGATCAATAGTAAGAAATAAGCAAATTCCCAAAAACAGTTTAAAACACATTTGGATTGTTTCTTACTAGAACATCAACTTTTATACCATTTTCATTCAATAGAAGGTAAATTCTCCTACATCTAGGATCACTACCATGGAATGGAATTAGTCATCAGATGTGCATAAGTGGAAAAGCAAGCCATTGAACGGACTACTAATAAACACACAACATTATATTGAAAAAGAAAAACATCTATCGTGTTGATCTTACATATTCCAAATACATTAGAAGACAAGACAAAATCAATATCTGACGTATCTTATATGTTAAAATAATATTTGATTAATGAAAGTCGCATTTTGTAAGTATATATTAATTTTTAGTTGTTAGTTTTAAGATATTATGTAGATCGTGTTTATGAAAAAAAAAACTTGTATGAAGTAAATTGATCAGAAAAAATAACAGATTGAATTAACAATTATTGCAACATGATAACACTGAAAATTGAGAGGAATTTACTTATTTCCAAATTGAGAAAATATTTCTAACTTAATGCATCTGGACTACATGCTAAGATCTAGAAGTGTCAACTCCAGCTTCAAGCCCTAAGACCTGCATTAGCGGGGGCCAAGTTTGGGGCACCCATGGGCAAGAGGATTATACATGTTCTCTAGAGCTCTGAAAGTTCTAGGTACCATCTTATCAACATACAGTGTTCCATCCAGGTGATCACACGCATGTTGTAAGATCCGGGCCTGCCAACAAGTAGCATTTATTTTGAGGGGTTCACCGTAACGATCAAAACCTGCAACTTCAACATCAAGGTACCGCTCTACCACAACACAGTATCCAGCCACACTGCAAAATGGTATTGCAGATGATGATGTTATTTGTATCCTATATATATATGTACTTGACACATTACTACCTCATAAAACACAAACATAAAGTGATCCTGATTATTTTAAAAATTATGACAACACCATTGAAAAGCTTAAGTTGTTACCTACAACAATAATAAATCCAACAAACCCAATTGCATCGAATCAGGTTGGAGGAAAATCTCACTAAAATGTGGCATGTTCACAATAAGAGAGTTGAATAATATTAAAAAATTCCAGTGTTCTGTTGCACATGTCTCATCGTGGAAATGCACTAAACCTCCACAAAACCTTATGAATATTGAAAGAAAATTGCTAGTTTTTAGCCCTTAGCCACAATAACTATGAAGCATTTGCTTAAATGGAAGCATATATGTAAATATGGTACAGCTAGTTAAGAGAAAATCCCAGCATCTGAATGACAGTATTTCTTAAACCTCCACAAAACCTTATGAATATTGAAAGAAAATTGCTAGTTTTTAGCCCTTAGCCACAATAACTATGAAGCATTTGCTTAAATGGAAGCATATATGTAAATATGGTACAGCTAGTTAAGAGAAAATCCCAGCATCTGAATGACAGTATTTCTTAAACCTCCACAAAACCTTATGAATATTGAAAGAAAATTGCTAGTTTTTAGCCCTTAGCCACAATAACTATGAAGCATTTGCTTAAATGGAAGCATATATGTAAATATGGTACAGCTAGTTAAGAGAAAATCCCAGCATCTGAATGACAGTATTTCTTAAACCTCCACAAAACCTTATGAATATTGAAAGAAAATTGCTAGTTTTTAGCCCTTAGCCACAATAACTATGAAGCATTTGCTTAAATGGAAGCATATATGTAAATTTGGTACAGCTAGTTAAGAGAAAATCCCAGCAACTGAATGACAGTATTTCTTAAACAAAGGGTGAAAAATGAATAATTGGCAGACCTCAAGCAGCCTTCAAAAAAGAGTGCAGTTCTGTTGGTGTTGTACTTGAGCTTGGGGTTAAGGATGACCTGGCTCAACGCAAGACAAGCGAAGAATGAATGGAAGTAAGTAAGTAGCTATAAGAATAGTGAATTTAAGCCTAACTCAATCTTACAAAAGAAGAGAGTTGTTTTTCACTTATATATTATTTAATTGCCTAATCTCTGTTCGATATGAGACTTGAATTTTTTTTTCCATAGTAGCAGATTAAAATTAAGAAAAAGGTAGCATACCAAAAGATCAAAAGGTCTTCTATCTTGTGCTTTTAACTCTTCCTCTTGCTTGTAAGTCATGTATTGTTTTTTATCTTCCAAAACAATAATCTGCAAAAGCATAGTAATAATAATAATTTAAGAGAGGTAGGTAGCATATGGATTGATGGATAGGGGATAAGTACCCTTAAGGGGATTCCAATGTGTGGGGCAGCGAGACCAACACCAAGTGCCCTTCGCATGACACGGATCATGTCGTCGATCATCTTCTGCACTTTCTCCAATTTCATCTCATTGTGCCTAACTTCTTGGGCCGCCTCGCCAAGAACAACCTCTCCGGCATTCACAATTTTTGGCAACTTCCCACCCCCCCACAACCCACTTCTGCCGCCATCGGAACCACGCGCAACCCCGCCCATACTTTCTCATTTCCCTTTCTCCCATATTTTATTTTTTCCTTCGCACAAATTATTTCCTTTTTATTTTTTAAAAAATATTTTTTTAATTTTAAACAACCTTAATTATAGTTTGTTGGAAGTAGTTAGAATTATGAAAATCTATATTCAATCTTCGATTATCTTTGTAATTTTTGTTATTTTTTTTTTAAAAAGTTACAAATACTTAAATAAGTAACTTTTATGACTTCTTTTAAAATAAAAAATTTATTTATTTTTACTTCAATGATATTCTCAAAATACTTATCTTTAAAATCTAACACACGACTTCAACGGAAATTATAAAAAAAAAATAGTGAGATAAAATACAAATATGTTTATTGTATTTAATTTTTTTATTATTTAAACAAAATTAAATAAAAATTTATAGCAATAAATTAATAATAAATAATATAAATGTTGTCAAAGAAAGAAATAATAATAATATAATAAAATCATTAATTTTTTACTTAATTTTTTTAGCTAATATAAATTGAATTTGTTTTTAACTAATATAAAAACTTTTATATTTTTTATTTATTTTTTATAATTATTTAAAAATTACACTTTTGTTCTTTTCACGCATTTAAATAATATATTTTATTAATGTGTGGAAGCAAGATCCACTCATTTTCAATTTCAATTTCCTTCTTCATTCACACAATCGTGTTTTCTATTTGCTGCTACCCACTCACTGGCTTTACAATAATATTCATTATGAGTCATCGGTTGAACCGGATCGAATATCAAGAAAAAAAATTATTCAATCTAATAATTTTATTTTAATTTTTTTACTCATCAAAATTATAATACCCACAACAGATTTAAACCTAAAATTCTGTATATGTATATTATTCTAATCTATCATCACTAATTTCGGTTTACTTAGTTTAATATTTAATTGATTTGGCTTTAAATTATAAATAATAAAGAGGTTATATTAAAGGAGGAAAGGGTGAGGGCCAAAAGAGTGAAAAAGAATGTTGGGGCTGGGCCTGGGCTTGGGCCTTGGGAGTGAAAAAGCGGTGGCTGAAGTGAAGAGTGAAGAGGTTGGATAAGCATATGGTTAGGGTTTTTGGTTGCGAAAGAGAAAGAGAAAGCAATGGAAGGCGTAACAGAGGGAGTGAACAACATCAGCATCAACATGAACGATTCGTATAAGAAGAATCGCATTCAGGTCTCTAACACCAAGAAGCCCCTCTTTTTCTACGTCAATCTCGCCAAGGTATCACTCCATTTCTCTGCATCTCAGATTTCCATCATCGCCACCTCTTTCACTCACCTTTCATTTTCATTTTCTTCTTTCTCCAGAGATATATGCAACAGCATAATGAGGTCGAGCTCTCAGCACTAGGAATGGGTATTCAAATCCCTCCACCTTTTTTCCTCTCTCTATTTTTTTTTTTTTTGAGTTTTATTCACTGAATTTCGTTTGTGTTGGTTATTCATTATTAATGTGGATTCGTTTTTTTTTTTCGTTCATTCAGGTGTTATTATAGTTCTAGAGTTGCTAAATATGACTGTGAGATTGAGAATTTTGAAAATCCAAAGAATGATAACACTTGTAAGATCAAACGATTCAAACCTTCGTTGGACAAAATATGTTACTCTCGGATCAGACATAAGTGTTTAGGTTTCATTTGCTTCAAGCTTTTTATTTCTTCTTCTGATAGAGCTTTCTATACTGTGATGCTAGTGATACAGGCTTATTGATACTAGTGTGTGCTTATACTCAGTTTTAAAGCTTAATGATACTGCCCTCCTCTTTTCCAATCCCTATTGAAACTCCAAAAAAAGCTGTAGGCTGTGACCCATGGTATCATTTAGATAGGGCCTTGTGGTTAATAGTACAAATTGGATAAACTGATTTTCAACTCAGCCGTATTCTGGAGGTTCAGGGTTTTTCTTCCAGTTTGGGATTTAAGTGTAATCCATTACATAATAATCGAAGTGAAGTGTAGTGGTCAGCTTTGTAAATGTTATTGTGGGTATAAATATAAATATTATACAAACTAATAATTGTAATACACACAGTCACACACATATTATATGCTCAAAAAATAAATAAAGAGAATTTCATGATTACTAATAAGTCAGTCTACAATGTGTCGATTTATTCTAAAATCAATGACACATTAATTTTTTTTTCCAATTTTACCCTTGATAATTAATGTATGTTTATTGAAAAATGTGTCGATTTATTTCTAATAAAGGGTATAATAGAAAAGTAATTAATAAATATTTTTGAAAATTAAAATATCAATCATTTCCTCGTGCAAAAACATTAAATGATTATGAAAAAAAACTGGAGGGAGTAGTAATGAAATCACCATCAGAACATCATGGTTAATAAGTCAGAGTCTACACACACACTCATTCAGTGTGAGAGAAGATATAAAAGCTGGGAGATAAATGTTAAAACAGTCATGCCAAATATATCTGCAATGATAAAACTTAAGACTAGAGGAACTTTTTTTAATTGTATAAATTACAGGACAATAATTGATTTATATGTAACTGTCATTGTTTCCTGAAATAGTAGAACTTCATTACGATGTTAATATAAGGAATAGAATGCAATGTATTTCAAGATTTATATGTGACTTTCTAATTCTCTTTTTTCTTTTCTTGGTTATAATTTTGATGTGTTTTTTTTTTATTTCTTACCTCTTATTTCATTGTTACAGCAATTGCCACAGTGGTAACTGTTGCTGAAATTTTGAAAAACAATGGGCTTGCTGTTGAAAAGAGTGAGATTCTATTCACTTTTTTTGTTTCCTTCTTTCCCTCTTGTGAAATGGTCCTCTCCCTTCTACTTCACACTTTAATATCTTATTTTCCAATAGTTGGATCATCTAATATGATAAATGATTAAACTTTATGCAGAAATCATGACATCAACTGTTGACATAAAGGATGATTCTAGAGGTAGACCTGTCCAAAAGGCAAAGGTAAGGCCGGATAAAGTTTTGTTTGCTCTAGAATGTTTGCTTGGAGCCTGTGTGGTCTTGATGTGTATACACAATTCTTAGAACTCAAGAGTTCATTTAAAATAAATAAATATAAAGTTGTTTTTTTTTAAATTGAGAAATGTTACTAATACACTTTCTGACATGTTCTTTTAAACACACTTTCTATTATTGAAAAAACACAAAATTTGATGTGTCCCATATCCTATTTAATAACTCTCTCTATCTCTCTTTTGATTTTGTAGTTTTTAATAAATTTTAACTAATAAAAATGGGTTTGTAGGAGTGTGTTGGTAGCACTCTTCGTTGTTGATTTTATACCATGGGACATGGTCTACCAGTCTTCGTTGTACTTATTATGGCTTTGGATTCTGCTCTATGATTTGCCTAAGCTTTTCATTTGAAAAATCATGTTTTAGATTGAAATTGTACTTGGGAAGACAGCCAATTTCGATGAGTTGATGGCTGCTGCAGCAGCTGAAGATGGTGAAAATGGAGATATCGAAGAGAGCGCATGAAGTTCTTCAAAATTACACTTAAATTTGTCAATGATATGTACTCTTTAGTGATTTGCATTTTTGTTGTCGCGTAGTAGAGGACATGTCATTATAAAATAGGCTTTGCATTAAATAGTGATTTGAATTTTTTGTTGTCGCGAGGTAGTGACCTGAAATATTGAACAAGAAAATTTCTTTGTTTATTTTTTCTATAAAATAGGCTTTTCTTATTTTTATTTTTTGCTGGGTTTAATGTATCAAGATTTCCTTGAGAAGAAGAGGATCATGAAATGTCAAATGTTCTTAAAATTTATGGATCTTTGTTTCAATTGCCTTAGTAACCGAATTATGAAGGATAACCTTTCATCTCTTTTTCAGCGAGTTATTTTAACAATAGCCTCTTCAATGGTGAGGCTTGCCACTATATTTAACAACACAAATTTTCTCTATACCTTTGTTTATGTATTTTTTTAAAAGTAAAAATTACATTTGTTTAATTATAATAAAATAAGTGCTAAATTTATAAAATAGACGCCTAACAATTATCTAGATGGAAATAGAAAAGTATTATGAATTTATGATTAAGGGTCTTTGGGGAATTATATGAAGGACAGATGCTAACCCTAGTGGTGTGTTTGGATGAGGGATTTTACAGATTCAAGGAATTTTAAATTCTTGGTATTTGAATTACTTTGATTTCAATTTCTATCATTCTTAAAATATTTTGTTTGGATAAGTTAATTCAAATTTCTTAAATTTTAAATTGTTAAGTTGGATATAATAATTTGATTCTATCATGGTAAAATTGATTTTAAAAATATATTTATATGTTGAGATTTTTGAATTAAATTTTATAAAAATAAATATTAGTTAATTTTTAAATATTTAATAAATTTAAAATTTAATATTAGATAATATTTAATAATTTTAAAAATATTGTTGAATATTTAATAATTAAAAACATGAAGAGGTAATTTACTTTTTTGGGAGAATTTTAAATTCTATTATTTCAAGGAATTTCACAAATGCTTAAATTTCAAATTCTTTAAAAATTCTCCATCCAAACAAGATATTTCACCTCAAAAAATTTAAAATTCTTCAAATAAATGAATTACTTCATTTAAATTCTTCGTCCAAACATACTATAGGACTAATGGAGTGCGGTTCATTTGGGCGTAAATTATAGGACTAATGGAGTGCGGTTCATTTGGGCGTAAATTGTGGGGCTCAAGGTGCAAACAAATGCAGGGTGATGCATGGCTTTCTTAATATATCTTTTCATTTTATACCGAAGAGTTATTTATTTTCTATATAAAGAGAAAAATTAAAAAGAAAACTCTTTACAGCACAACTTCTGAACAGATTCCAAGCCAAGACTACGTACGAAAGGGAGAACACTATTCCAAGCGTAAAATAATTTTTCTTTGGTGATAATACAATGCAACATACAGTATTATAATATTCAATGAATCTATAATAATATATAAATATATAAAGGTCATTCATGATTTTTGTGTATATATTTTTTAAGATGTTTTTATTTTTTATTTATTATAATAACTGTAGATTTTTTCTTTGTGTAAGATAATACAATAATTTTATTTTATTAATTTAAATAAAAATTATTATTTGTCAAAAATAAATTGTATAATTGTTTTGTAACTTTCACACTTTGATCCTGAACATTAATAAGACATGGATTTCTTTATTAATAATATATATAGGGGATGGAGAGTTTTGGTTTTAACTTTTCACTAATCAATTTTATTTATTAATATCATAGTCATTTCTTCTTATTACTCTATTTATTTAACTTCAAAAATAACCTTAATCGAAATTTTAGTTTCTATTTGTTAATAATATATCATTGTAAACAAGTTGGTGGGGAGGGGTTGAGGTAGTTAGAAGCATGAGGACCTAGGTTTAATCTTCATTATGACCATCTTTGTAATTTTTTCTATTTTTACCAAAAAAATAAATCATTGTAAACAAGTTATGATTCTTCCTTTATAATAATAAGCTGGTACTTTTTTGTTAGAACATTCTATTTTTTTTATTATTATTTTTGATTATATTATTTATCTCCTATTTTAATTATTTTATATTTTATATTTTATTTAAATAAATCATATAAGAACATAAAGTGCCTCAATATACTAATTAATAATTGTCTTATCGATAAGAGAAGTGGCTGTATTCCCACACTTTTTTTGCACTAATAAGTAATGAAAATTAAAAAAATAGATTCCTGTGAATTTGAATAGAGAAATTTAAACAAATAGCTCAATAATTGAGAATTTATTTTTTTTAATATTAAAATATATTGTTTGAAAAGTGTATTTAAAAGTATTTGAAATTTTTATAATTTATCAAAGTATTTTGAGTACGTAAAGTTATAAAATTTATATGAAAAAATAAGAATTTAAATTTATTTATGTTTATTTATTTATTGATTTTTCTATCTATTCTATTATTTTCTCACTCTCTTCTCTATTTTTACACGATGGAAATTGAATTCTGTTATTCAAATTGAAATTTTCAAAATTTAACAAACTTAAATTGTTTTATTTAAATAAAACATTTAGAAAATAATTACTGGAATTTAATTGAAAGCAATTCAAATTTTGCTAAAATTAGTTTAATTTTTTTTATCCAAAGATAACATAACATTTCTAATAAATATTATAAAATCTAATTAAAATATATTGACAATATATTTACTTAAAAAATTGATACTTAAAAAGTTAACATTGATATTATAATATTTCAATTTGAAAATTACAGACACAAACAAAAATAGATATAAAAACAATTATGTAAGTTGTTTGGAAAAAAAACAACATACTTTTTCCTTTTATTTAAATGTGTGTAGAAAATAAAAATAAAAAACATAAATATTTCTTATAAAAGTAAAAGTTTATAAAAATAAAAATATAATTTATCCTTTTACTGTATAACTCATTCTTTCTTTTACATTTCTTTGAAAAATGGATGGACTGAATTTTGCCGGGGGTTTTAAGTTGTTTTTTTTTTCTTTTCACTAAACTCTAAACCCTAAACTTGATAAATGATGGTAGAATTTTTAATTTAATATATTTTAATTATTGGATAATTTTGTTCTTTTACCAAGATCGACTAAAAATTTACACAACGATTCAAAATATTAACAAGTAATATAAAAAACTGTGTTGTTAACTTGCTATTTAAATTAAGTTTACACAAATGGGACATTATTTAAGTTCTAAATTGATTATGCGTGCCAATAGAAATCCAATGAAAAATAGAACTATAGAGTACATTAAGCATGTTTTTATTACTATTTTGTAGGAACGCGATGCGATGCATCATCGATAATGACATTCGGTGATTTCTTTTACATGCCAGTGAATATAGATAGTATTGAAGGTATAACAGATCCTTCATCATAAAACAAAGCTTGCAAACCAATTATTTTTATCACAAAGGAGATAAAGAGCTTAGTCTCTTCATAAATAAGGATTGTTATTATTATAGAAGCTGAACAAACCAAACCCAGTTATTCTTATACTAGTACTGCATGCATGCCACCATATGTCTCACATAATTTTACTTCCTGATGGGGCTAATAGGTGGGCTACCTGCATCAATAACATATTTTTCAAACCTTCAAATTTAAACGACTGATTATTAAAGACAATAATAAACTAAGTGAATATTATGAAGCCTGTCATATAATTAAGGTGAAATACAAATAAAGTCTCGAATTATTAAAAAAAAATAAAAATGAGAAACGTGAATTCATAAGTGCATGCAAAATCTTCATTAATATATATAAGTGATTTCTAAAACTAAATTTATGAGAATTTAGATTTAATCACTTATATCATATCAATATAAAAACATATAAGCGTAAATGTGATTTCCAACATATTCAAATCAATAAAAATATATCTTATGTAAGAAAAAATCATTAGAATCCATATTACTTGTAAAGTTTAAAAACGAATGAGTGAAGTAATTGGCAAAAACATGACATACCAGATTTAACACTATCGGGATACACACATTGATTCATAGATGGAATGAGACAAGCCTCTAATTCTGATGCAACAACATTAGAACCAGTGTAGCAACTCCTTGCACTGACGTGAGTGCATGTTCTCAACACGGTTCGGAACTTTATAGTCTCAATGAGGATTGGTTGATATTGGATTGGCTTACGTGAACTTGTTTCATAAAATGAAGCTCCATGGTCCACCAAGCACCTCTCCATTGAATCAAAAAGGCAAGGAGCAAGGTTTACTCCACCATTATCATGATGCATTAATATTGGTTCGGTTCCACTGCATGATTCAGCAACATGCGAGCTGCAATGTGTCACAAACCTTTTGAATCTGGGTGACTCATAGGCCTGTGGTTGACTATAGTTAAGCATAGGGTTTGTGGATCTACCAATACGAGCGTCTTTTACAGGATCCATGGTTTCATGTTGGCTATAGTTTAGCATAGGATTTGTGGATCTACCAATACGAACGTCTTCTGCAGGATCCATGGTTTCAGGTTGACCATAGTTAAGCATAGGATTTGTAGATCTACCAATACGAACGTCTAGCATAGGGTTTGTGGATCTACCAATACGAGCGTCTTCTACAGGATCCATGGTTTCAAGTTGACTATAGTTAAGCATAGGGTTTGTGGATCTACCAATACGAGCGTCTTCTGCAGGATCCATGGTTTCAGGTTGACCATAGTTAAGCATAGGGTTTGTGGATCTACCAATACGAGCATCTTCTGCAGGGTCTATGGTTTCAGGTTGGCTATAGTTAAGCATAGGGTTTGTGGATCTACCAATACGAGCGTCTTCTGCAGGATCCATGATTTCAGGTTGACTATAGTTAAGCATAGGGTTTGTGGATCTATCACGAGAGTCTTTAGTAGGATTCATGGTTTGAGGTTGACTATAGTTAAGCATAGGATTGATGACTACACCAATATCAGCCTCTTCAGCAACTACCGCACCTATGAACAATAATAGAGTAATTAGTATTATTGCTCTCATTTTCTCCATTATTTGGTTTAGTTAGCCGTGAATTGAACTAGTTTGTAGTTTTGAGCTCAATTTGGTTGATGTTTGTGAATTTATACTTGTAGAATATGTGAATTTTGCAATATAAGATAATCCAGGAAGTGTATAAATGTTTATTATAAAGTATAAAGTATTTATAATGACCTTTGATCTTTGTTATACATATCCTGACTCGATTCTTTTCCAAGAGGTAGGAATATATATTTGTCTTTCTGAGATTAAAATGGAATATATAGTTACATAAAAAAATAGAATATATTTGATCATTACACTAATTACTGCTGCATCCATATATTTATTTTTCTTTTTCTTTGGTTAAAGAGTATTTTTTAGATGTATATGCATAAAAAAAATAAATTGTTTAAAGTGTTAAATTATGTTTTAAATTTTCCATCTGAAGAGATGTTTATATATTTAACTTCTTTAAAGTGAGATATTAATTTAGAGGTAGCAAAAGAGAGAGGGAGAGAAAGTTTTAGAAGATAAACAGTTGTATTTATTGGTTAAAAATAATAATTTCATGCACATGTATAATAAAATATGAATTTTATTAAAATTTCAACTTTCAAATTTTAATTAACGCTAAGTATTTTTGTTTTAAAGAGGTAAATCTTACATTTGATGCGTGGTTGAACATGCCTCGACTGATATTGTTTCTTACAAAAAAAGTTACATGTAAGAAAAAAAAAGGTTATGCAATTACTATTTTTAATTATATTCGCTAAATTATCAAGCCCTTCTGATAACATTAATTTATAAATAAAAAAAATATTTTACTACCCATTCGTGTGTTGGATAGAATAAAATCTTCCATCAAACAATGTTGACATTTTGGAAAAATTCGGTTTGAAAAAGAGATGCTTCATTAAAATTAAAAGTCATTTCATTTTATTATTTATTTATAAATGTTTGATATGTATACGAACTTTAATTCTTTTAAAAAGGGAAATTATTATATGTCAACTTTATAATTAAAATAGTTTGATTAGGAAAATAATGTTTTTAAAGAATATTAATTTATATAATTTTTTAAGATATTTAAATTATGATGTTATTTTTTTCATTCATTTTGAAAAATTAAATTCTCTTTCCTTAACCAATAGGATGGATTTAGAAGACAAATATAAAAGGGCTGAAAATAAACATTTTAAAACATAAATAATTGAATTAATTAATAATTTATAAGAGTATTTTTTATGAAATACATTGAGGGTCAAAATTTGTAAAACTATAATTTACTAGGCTTTTATTACAAATTAATTTTATATTAATCTAAGCATTTAACTTTTATTATGTTTAAAGTATATTAAGTTTACAAAATTGTATATAATTTAAAATTTAATTTTTGATTCATTACTTGATTTTATTTTAACATGCATTACATTATTTAAAATATATATAAAAAATTACATATTTACAAATTTATAATTATCTAAGATTATATATATAATCATAAAAATAATATTAGATTGATAAAGTTTAACTTTTATACTGCTATTATATTAATTTTATACTTTTTTTAGAGAGAAAAAATGCATTTAATTGCATTATTTTTTGATGAAAAATTGAAGGGGTCAGGGTTTCGCCAACCCTTGCCCCTTGGATACTTAAGACAAATATGCATCAAATTTTACTTTTTTTTTTTTTTTTTACGAAGATAACATTTTTTTTTTCCTATTTCTCTATCGCTTATTTGCTGTTAGATTAAACCCTTACTATCTTTTATATATATATATACTTATAGATAGAGGGGAGAGCTTAAAATGATTATTACTCGTAAACTTTTCTTATGATTCTTGTCATTTTAAAATTTTATTTTACAGTTTTCTACTCCTTAGAAAATTGTAAAGTTTTATATTGTCTTTCTTATATCATAAATTATTCATTTTATTATAATAAACACTATGTCACATAATTGGCAAATTGTGATAAGAACTCCAACCGTAAGATAAATATCTATAGGACTAAAATTATAAGAAAAAAGAATTAAAACTGGTTGTTTTGAGTGCGTTTACTAAATTAGCTTATAATTTAGATAGAAATAGATAAGTAAAAATAAACAAATAAATTTAAAAATTAGTTACATGCTTTATTCATTTTGCCCCCTTACCTTATTATTCAATAAATTCAAACGAATGTTATTGATTTGGTTCTTGTTATTGAAATCAGTAACCACAACTAAAAAGATTCGAACTAAAATCTTATACTTAGTTCTCTTGGTCTTTATCTCATAAACCATACATCATTATGCAAGAACTAATAAAAATAACAAAAATTATCAAACAATATATTCATATTTAGTTGACAAAACTTTGGTGAAGAGTGAAAGTAGAGTTCTAAATTTAAGAAAATGAAACAACTTTTTATTTTCAAGTAAATCAAATGGATTGTATCAAGCAATGATTTATACACAATAGATTCGCAATAAAAGTGAAGGACACTATTAAAATTTGGTTATAGTTGATTTCATTATGAGAAATTTAATAGTGTGTTTAGATGAAGAATTTAAATGAAGTAATTCATTTATTTAAAGAATTTAAAATCCTTTGAAGTAAAATACTTTGTTTAAAAGGAGAATTTATAAAGAATTTGAAATTTAAGCATTTGTAGAATTTATGTTTTAAGAAACTAATGAAATTTGAATTAACTAAATAGTCTTATAAACCCCATATATTACAAATATATATAAGAATTTACATGCAATTATATGATAATTTGCAGCTACATTGTCATTGGGACCCCTCCGTCATTCTCTAACGAAGATTAAGTGGCAACAAATTAAGCATAAACGTGAAGTTGAGCTTGTACTGATTTTGAGAGCACATGTAATACTTGACGAGGTGTAGCTTCACATTGTTTCAAGCACCAGCTTGCACTCCATGGAATGGTTTTGTACATGTGCTTTCTTGTATCTATGAAATGTCAATTCAATTACCTAAAACACACACACAAAACACTTACCTAAACCCTAAACCTAAAACACACACACAAAACACTTACCAAAGAGACTCTTTATTCAAGGTAGATAGATTTATTGATTAACTTGCATCATAGATCACAACCATTTATAAAACCAACCAAAAACCTCTCAGAATAATAAAACTAACTTAAAGCATCTACAATATTGAGAGATGCTTATAAACAACTTTCATTTACTTTAAATGGATCTCACTATGCCACATCACTTATAAGCAACTTATACTATATTTATACAATTTTTGTTTTAATAAAAGTTGCTTATAAGCACTTCCACTTTTTGACAACTCATACTTCATTTTTTGAAAAAATTTTAAAAAAATTAATTATTATGAATTATATATGAATATGAATAAAAAATAAAAATATTACATGATAAAAAATGCAATAATAAAAAGAAATACAAAAATTACAATGAAATTAAATATAAAAACTAAGAAATTACATAATACCATAAATGCACGATAAATTATTTATAACAATAAATATGCACTAATTTTTGTTATTATGATATCCAAAACATTCTCAAATATATTTCACCAAGTCGTGTTGTAGTTGTCAGTGTTGTTGTTTGTCACGAAGATGTGTCCTCCTTTTGTAAGCATGTTGTAGTAAAAATAGGATGAGCACCAATAGATACATCGGTAGTCAGACTTCGTTACCACTATTATCATAATCAAAATTAATATTTTATGTGTGTCATCTTCAACAATCATGTTATGTAGTATGATGCATGCATACATGATGTTCTTCAATGTATCGACACACCAAGCACGTGTTGGTCCATGTGCAATTGCAAATCGAGATTGCAACACTCCAAATGCTCATTCTACATCTTTTCTGGTTGATTCTTGTCGTTCGACAAATAATTTTTTCTTTTCTCCTTGTGGCATAAGAATGGTCTTCACAAATGTAGTTCACTATAGATAAATACCATCTGCAAGATAATAATTCATATTATATTGGGTTTTATTCACTATGTATTGTACAATAGGAGTTTGTCCTGACAAGATGTCATTAAACATATTTGAAATATTCAACACGTTAATGTCATTATTTAAACTTGTCATGCCAAAAAAGGCATGCCAAATCCACAAGTCTTATGAAGTTACAACTTTAAACATAACTGTGGGTTTGTTGTAATCATCTCGACAAAATTGTCATTTCCAAGCAACTGGACAATTTTTCCATTCTTAATGCATACAATCAATAGATCCTAACATACCTAAAAAGCACATGCTTTCCCCATTTGAAGTAGTCGTTCAACATCTTCATTTTTAGGCCTCCTAAGGTGTTCAACTTCGAATATGTTGCACACATCAGATACAAATCTCTCTAAGCATTCTACAGCAGTGCTTTCACCAATTTGAACATAATCATCTATACTACCACCACTTGATCCATATGCTAATATATGAATTGAAACTGTGCATTTTTGTAATGGTAAAAGACCTTTCTTTCAAGTTTCATCAACCCTCATCTGGAAATAGTCATCATAATGACCAAGGGTTTCTATAATTCTAAGGAAAACATGCCTTTGCATTCGAAACCTTCATCAAAATTGAACATCTATGTAAACTAGATTCTCAGAGAAGTAATCATTGAACAATCGATTATGCCCTTTTTCATGACATCAATCAATCATCATTCTTTTTTCCCTCCGACGAGTAGTGTTGTCAGATTGTTATTGCATCTCGAAAAAACTAATCTAATTTGTGATAATTAAAATTACAATAATACCTATTGTCCTAATTTGCCCCTAATAAAATTATAAGCCAATTCGTGATCTTTGAGTTGCTCTTAATCATCCCAGATGTGTCCTTCTTGAGAATGTCATACATTGCACTAAAGTTAGCCGCCTCCTTCGCTTCAACCAATTTTTTTACTGCAGCACTTCTCTCTAACATTACTTTTGCTGTATTATCCAACTTCTTTCTGTCGAAAGATGTTTTGTCAACCTTTGCTTTACTATTTCTTTTTGTTGTCGTCTGGCCTATTAGACGAGACATTGGTATTGTTAAGTCATATTCTTCACAATCATTGGTTGCATCTGTGTTAAAAGACGTTGAATATTGCCCAAATTTAGAGATCTTTGATCTTTTAGAAGAGCTCTCTACTGATTCAAATTTCTATTTTGGTTCGTCTCTTAACAATAGTCATGCATGCTCAAAATTGAATTTATCACCCACATCTTGTGAGTAAATCTTATATGCATTTGCCATGATGTCTTTCTCTGAGTTGCCACTTTTTTTTTTTTTATCACAAGCTTGTTTGTAACACCCGACAAATAATTGAACTACTTTATTTATTTGAAACCAATTTTTTAACTGACATGGTTTCCTTTTTAAAAATTGATTGTGATTGTTGTTATAATTCTCTTTAATTCTTATCCATAAACTATTTTCAATTCGATCAACTACTAGAATTGGATCCTTCGAAATGTTAAACCATGATTGAATAAGGAGATTATCCTCTTCCATCGAGAAGCTAACACGTGATTTTTTCTAAGTAGATAATTCTTCTCTTTGTTGTCCTCCTACATAAAGTGTGATGTTCTCTAGCCCAACTTGAGACTCAAATATTGAACCAATTGGTGATTCTATTTTCCAATTTAATGGCTCCACAACTTTTTCAAAAAACATTGAAGGCCTATAAAATATATTGGGATTGGTTGGTAGTGGTAACATAAAAAAAATGAGGATTTGGAGAATTATCATTGATAGAGTGTGGTGGTGGTGGGTATATAAAAAAAAATGAGGATTTTGAGAATTTTACTAGAAGGGATTGGAGGTGGTGCTTGATTTTGTAAATAATTAAAATAAATTTGAAAATTATATTGATTAGGATCCATGTAAAACTTTTGCCCTGAACACAGAAAAAATATAAAAAAAATAATCAATGAGGGAAATATAATATTGTGTGAATAGTAGATGAATAGTATTTAGTGAAAAGCGGGAAAGTTGATGTTGCGCTTCAACTGTATCATAAAATGCTCCAAACAAATGATGGTGCTTGCACGGTTGTGGACAACTACAACATCTCCTTAGTGGTGAAGGGTCTATGCAAGATAGTGTTTTAATTCCAACATTCCATTCTCTCAACGGTCTGAAGCATTAGTTTAATTTTATTTATCTTTTTTACTTTGTGTTCATTTCTTTTCTTTGTGTTTAATTTTACTTGGTTTAATTTTATTTATCTTTTTTACTTGCAACGGCCACCATTTGTTCTATCCTTATCTTACTTGGTGTCGAGTATTACTATTTCACAACGTTCTTCCTAAGCCAAGCCAACATCATGGAGCGAACACTCGGGGGACTTCAAAATCCCCACAGGTTCTATCCTCGTGTTCAGCGCCATCACACTCATCCTGGTACCCATCTATGAGAAACTCACGATGCCTTTTCTCTGTAGCCTCACCGCCACCAGCGCGACATCATGTCGTTGCAATGAATGGGAATATAGCTATTCATCTCGATCTTCGCCATGGCTTCGATTGTGTTGGTCAAGAAGAAAAGACGCATGCAAGAGTCGGTGAGGGGGGAATAATCGAGAGGAGGGTGTTTAAGCTTCCAACTTGGAGGGATGAACCATTCAAAACTCTCCATTTGAAATTTCACAATCCCGAGCATCGGAGCTACAATAAGGAACGAATCCAAAAATATTCAACTTCTCTTACCACGTCAAATCACTTCAATGGTAATCTATTATAAGCTTTGTTCCTTATTTCTAAGATACACCTTAAGCAATTACTGTTGGAGGTGCTCTTACGAATGCCTCAAAAACATTAAGCACCCAATTCCAACGCACTATTTGCTGAAGCCCAAAGACTAGCATACCACAGAACCAACTATTCCTGATGTCAACTACCTCCACAGGTTCCTTTTCAGCTTCCCAAATCCTAATTGATGGAGTCTCGGATTGAAGAAACTCCATGAATTTCCACACGACACTCCTTCTTGAATCCTTGAGAAGACTCCAACGCACTCTTAATTGCTCTCTTAAGTCATAGCACCTTCAATTCTTGAAAAATCACAAGATTGCTACTGCTTGACCCAGAATTGCCCTAATAAAGACCTTGTGTTAAGTGCCTGCATTTGTTTTACCACTGGTTTCAGTTGGAAACGAAGAGCAAAGTTGAATCATGTGGCGTGAGTAGTAGACTAGAGAGAAACACTCACCCTGATACACTAGTGTGCATAGAGAGAAACACTTTCCTAGTGAGGATGCATACACAGATAGTCTTTACTCTTTTCAGCTCTTTGATCTCTTTTGAAACCTTTGTTTACCCCTTGTCATGTTCTATTGCAATAATTGTGGCTGGAAATCCATCTTAGGTTCATGCTTGTGAAAAGAAAATACAAGCGAACTAGGATGTAGAATTTGACTCACTTGCATTGCTTGTTATCTGCTAGATTAATTACCTTTTGCTTGAGGACAAGCAAGGTTCTAAGTTTGGGAGAGTTGTTAAGTCTCAATTTTACCTCTTTTTGGATGAGACTTATTGAACGAATTCCACTCATCCTCTGAACCATTGCAATATAATTGTTCTCTTTTTGGTTCATTTTGTGTGCAGATATAACTAACCCAAATTTAGCTAACAATACCTTAATACACCTCATTTTTTGTGCAGGTAATGAGCTAGGGACTGGAGGATTGAAGATCCATAGGATTGGAAACTAAAGAGGCTAAGGAGCAGAGAAGAAATTGCGCCAGGCGCAAGATGACTCGCGCCGGGCTTGGTAAAACAGAGCCTGGAAGCCATGGCGCCGGGCGAGAGAATACACGCGCCGGGCGTGGTCGAGACAGAGAGTGCTTGAAACTCTCTGGAAGACATCGCGCTGGGCGTAAAAGGAAATTGCGCCGGGCTTACAATGAGGCAAAAAGTGCACAGAAGAGTACGCGCCGGGCGCGAAGACTTACATGTCGGGCGCGAAAACCTAATCTGATCTCCCTGGCCCGTATTTGAAGCCATTTTCGGGGGAGAAACCCTCATTCTCACATTGGGCGCCTCTAGGAGCTGCGGAAGGGATTCCCAGGGCTTGGGATCGTCCGTGTGCGGATCTTTCCTTCGGTTCTTCACTTCCTCTTCCATCTCTATTTTGTATTTGCCCTCTTTGTTGTGAGTGGTTTCACCCAATTTTTGTGGGGTTAGATGTAACCAACGTACTCTATTGTAATCTTTACGGTTTTAATGATATATATACATGTTGTTTTATTCTTTGTTGTGTTTGTTTCTATTCTTAATGCTTGCTTTGGATTGATCACCCTTTGCATGATTTAAGGTTCCATGGGTATTGGAAAATAACCTTTGAAACTAGTTCTGAAACATATGCCTAGTGGTGATTGTATCTAGGGATAGAGCTTGACCCATTAGTAGTCTTAAACCCTAGCCCGTAATGCGGGTGTAGATATTGGGTACTCAAGGGATTGATATTCAATATCCGCACCTAGGCTCTTTCTCTAAGGGATTAGGTTTGAGTAAACTCTTGGGTTGACTAAGCAATGAATTCAACAAGAGATTAAGGATACATTAGTGTTACGTTTGGTGAAATCTGACCCCCACAACCTCACAATACCACAATACCATTCCTTACCTTTTCCACTCACAAAACAATATTTATTTACAGCTTTCATTCCAATAGTCACAACTTTGAATTCACTGCACAAACTATGAAATTGGAATTATTCTTTAGTCACGAATAGTCAATAAATGCTTATATTACCTTCTAATCCCTGTGGATACGATATTTTTACTACTTGAACGGCCGGTATACTTGCCGTGTTTGAGACCGTTAATTGAATCAAATTGATTTACAATTATAACAAAAGTACTTCAACGGAAATCTCAACAATGTTCCAGTGCCATGACTCAGAAACTATTTTGTGTCTCTAGCTTGCTGCAATAATGCTCGTGCCATGGGAAAGTGGACAAGGGGTCAAAGAAGCCACTCAAACAGCAAATAATATATCAGAGGGGACATATTATCATAAATACTAAACCTGAAATATATTATCATGTTGAAGTACTTTCCCCAATATGACAAGTGAACTACCAAAACCCAAAGAAATAACCTTAGGGTCGTGTTATAAATGTCAGGGAAATTTTCCTTCTATGGTGGTAACTGGGAAGGAACTGGACAGCTTCCAAAGCTAATAATGACTGCATCAGACTAACGAAATGTCAATTTTCAAACATTTGTATATAAATATTACACACGCTCGTGATGCTTCCATTGGAAGGAAAGTAAACCTTCATGCAATGCATACCGTGTAACTACAAATCATATCAATTCAAACTCCTCTTTGTAAAATGCTTGTCTGAAGATAATTTGCACTGTGTCTTTGATGTGCACTGTCGTCAAGAAGTTTAATGGAATTCAGGAGAAAAAAATCGGCATGTCTTTTTTAAATTATATATAGATCACCTTACATATACATTCATACATGAGACTGAATTGTTGTTTGACTTCTTTAGTTTATAGAATTTCCTGATGCACGGGAATTTCCTAACTCTATTTTTCTACAACATTTTGATCTTTCTCCGGTAGATCAGAAAACTTGGAGTCTTCAATCAAGGTCTGCAAAATAACTGAAGCCTCTGAGAGCCTTCCCCGATATAGGTATTTGTCTAATGTCAGGGAATATTTAAGAGCAGTTTGGAGTTCAATGTTATTCAGATCACAGGATATGATATTTCTCCATTCTTTTGATTTTCCTTTTTGGAATAAGCCATGTAGCAGAGCAGTGAAACATACAGAATCTATAAGAAACCCCTTATTCAGCATTTTAGTTTGCAATAATTGGGCAGTGTCAACCATTCCATGCTTACAAAGACAAATAATAACAGAATTATAAGCAGCAATCACTTGCTCCCATCCATCCAAAATCATCATTGCGAAGAAATCCAAAATCAAGGATCTCTCGTTTTCTTCAGACTCATTTTTGCCAATAAGATCTGAACTAGGTGTAGTATTTGTTAAACCATTTATCAGGTAATGGAATGTAGCATCATTTGGAAGACAACTGTTCATCAACATTAGCTCAAAAATGGACGTTGCTTTTTTAGGTTTACCGGCCTTAAAGAAACCCCCAACTAGTACCGTGTATGTGACAACATTAGGCTCCAAATTGAAAGATTTCATCCCTCTGAAAACTTTTTCAGCTCTGATCATATCTGCTCTCATGCAGAATCCATTGATCAAAGAGGTGTAGGTGATCACATTTGGCTTGATTTTATCTTTCATCATTTGCCCAAACATCTTGAGTGCACTACTCAAGTCATGTTGTTTTACATATCCATCTATAATTGTGGAATATGTGTATTCATCTGGAGCATGGTGAACACTTTCCATCTTGTTTAAGCATGACAAAGCATCTGTCATCTTTCCGAGTTTACAGAAACCTTTGATCATGGCATTATAACCGACAATGCCAGGGTCCATACCCTTTCCAATTATGAGTTCAAAAAGCTTAATTGCCTCATTAAGTTCACCATTTCTAATAAACCCGTCTATCAAGGTGGCATAAACATATGCATCCGGTGGAACATTTCGATCAAGCATTTCTGAAAGAAGTAGTTTGCTGGCAGGAAACCTCCCTTTCTTGCAGAGACCACTCATCAAAACATTGTAAATTTGAGCATCAGGAAATACATCCCTCTCCATCATTTTCTCTCTGACCATCAGTGCAACATCAATTTCCCCAGCAACAACAACTCCGTGGATAAAAGCTCCATAAGAAACCAAGTCCGGTTTTTCTCCTATTTCAGCAATCCTAAAAAGCATATTCGATGCCTTAACATAATCCCCTTGTTTGCAATAAGCATGCATGAGGGGGGTATAACTAAACTTATTAGGCAGCAATCCCCTTTCTTTTGCCTTCTCTATGAGTTCATCAGCTTCTTTAATCCTTCCACCTTTACATGAAAAGTTAATCATCACATTGTAAGTTGTAATATCCGGCTCACAACCCATCTCAGCCATCCTAATCATCGTCTCAGCCGCTTTAGATACCAAACCCCGCTTGTATTGAGAATCAATAATATTATTAAACACTTTTACATTCACATTCAAGCCCCTTGCAACCATTTCTGTCAGAAGTTGATCAACTGCGTCAAACTCCCCTACCTTGCAAAATCCATTGATCAAAGCCCCGTAAGTTTGTACTGTCGGCAAAACCCCCTTCATTTTCAACTCCTTGAGAACTCTAGTTGCACCTTGGAGATCACCCTTCTTGCAATAGCCATCTATAATCATATTATAAAACACCACATGTGGCACACAACCCTTTCCCCATCTATCCTTAATGAACCTCCTACCTTCTTCCATTTTCCCCATCTTGCATAGACCCTTCACCACTATGGAGGTGCTGTAGTTGTCCACAACCGCGCAAGCACCATCATCTGTTTGAAGCATTTTATCATACAGCTGAAGCGCAACATCAACTTTCCCGCTTTTCACTAAACCATTCAGCAACGCATTGCTGGAAACAACACTGGGGAAACAATTATGCATTTCACGCAGTGTATGGAACAACAGAAGGGCCCTATCAATGGACCCAGATTCTGCATATGCAAGAATCAGAGCGCTGAGTGCTTCACGGGTAGGGTTCAAGTGTTGGGCTTTCATGTTCTCCAAGACGGACTCGATCTCCGAGAAGACTCTGAACCTGGCCAAGAGCTTGAGAAGAGAAGAACGAGCAACCTCATTGAGAGGAGAAGAGAAGGGTCGGGTGGAAGCCCAATCGAAGAACTTCAATGCAAGTTCTGCGTCGTGGATTCGGTCGATGACGAAGTGGGCAACGTCGGAAACGGGAACCTCGGATTGGGCGAAACGGGATTCGAGGGAATCGTTCGATGGGTGGGTTCTGAGGATTCGGATGACGTCGAAAACGAGGTTGGCGATACGTGGAGGGAGAAAGTGGGAGGCTTTGGGGCGGTGACGTGGTTTGATTCGAGAAAGAATGGCCTTCGACATTGTTCAGTTTCCAAGGTTTCAAGGAAGAGTCTTCATCTTAAAGATGCTCATTTCATTTGCCTGTAACACTAACATGCACTTCGTATTCTTCTTACTGTCAGAGGACTGCAATTCAAAACTCAAAACTCAAATGTCTTAGCCTTGACCTCTTAATTTTAAATTCTTGTTTAGATTAACTTTTCCAACATCGTACAAAAAATAATATTAAAAAATCAAATTATACATTTAATTTATTTATTTTTATCGATATGTCATTTGATCTCTATTATAAAATAAATATATTTTATATCTTTAATTTTAAATATATAAAAAGTTAATTTTCTATCAAATTTATTAATTATTAAATTTTAAGATTTACATTTTTTATATATAGTAATACACTTTGATCATTTCTTTATAAAATGGGACTCAATACAGGATGGTAACTATTCAAAGTGATGGGAACTAGCAAAAGAATTTGATGCTTTAGCTGGTTACAAAGACCAAATTGTAATTTAACTTATTAAAAATAAAAATAAAAAATTGTAGCAATAAATTACAAGTTTTAAGTGTAATCGAAAGGAAAATATTTGAAATAAAAAGGCTTAATTACGTCTTTATTCCTCTAGTATTATAATTGTCACAGAGATAAATGGCCTTTATGTTGGCAACACACAATAGTGGTAGTGTGGATAAGCAACGTACAAGGAACGGCTAATTTAAAGGCTTAATTAATCTTAAACTGCACCCAAATAGAATATAAAGGAAGGGGGGTTTCAAATAAAGGAAGGGGATTTTCAACTCATCAATGACTAGGAAAAGGTAAGAAAATATCAAAATTCAACTATTTTGCATTAATTCTCAACATTATATTGTCCCCCATACTAAGAATGGTACAAAATGACACCTTCAATAAAAGCATGACATCTGCTCACACTACCATCGGAGGTTAGACCGCAGTTTGATTTTAGATTCATCATTTAATCTTTGGATGTTATCACGAGCAACCCCAAAGCACCAATGAGAATATACTGCAAGGAAAATACAGCTTTAGAACACTTTAAATTGGTTATCATTTATTGCATGGTATAACATATCATAGGTTGCTTTGCAACAAATCATACACCGCAACAGAATATTAAGTTTCAGACTGTACACAATCCACATCAGATAAATGAACAAAATAGATTGGCACAGCAAACCAACCTTGATAATAGGCTTTTCAGTCATAATAATGGTCACCCAGCCCACGTAAGGTAAGAACCTGCCATTGAAAAATACAAGCAATGGTAACATAGTACTAGAAAGCAACTTATCAATTGAAAATGCTTCATACTACAAGAAAACTTGAATGCCAAACTGTCGGTATTATTATGAAATAAAGTAGGATTAACCCTTGGCATGATGCCCATGTTCAAATGACCATGGAGTATTAGAAATAAATCGTGCACACGGGTACATACTACACTCTTCTAGTAGCATTAAGCATGTAGCCAAAAAATGCATAATACTTAAATGTCATAGAGATCTCTCGCCTATTATAGTCGGAGGCCTAAAGCATATAATATAATCACTATATGTGATTGCCACAATGGAATAGTACTGGCTTTTTCATGACATTTTGAGAAAACAAGTCTACAATAAGTGGAGCAAATGTAACTAAAAAAAATGGTATACCCAACGGCTCTGCCCATAATGTGGTGCCTTTGCAGCCAAAGCTGACCATGAGCATACAGTAGCCTGTCATCTCCATAATTGTTATCTCCTGCCAAATATACATGAATGGAGAGCATTAGATTAACATATAACCACTAACTAAAATGGATTACTAAAATAAATTATGAAATAGAATACAGTAGAGAATAATGAATTTCAAATTTGCTTCTACGTTAGATTTTGTACCGAGACACTAACAACACATTTTTTCTAACGCACTAATTATTGGGTGTGTTTCATATAGCCTATAGGTTTCACTCAAAAGAGAGTGGGCCCATTTTTTAGTGGGACCCATGTGAAATTCATTCAATAATAATGTGTGGGAAAAGTTGAGTTGAAAGCATCATTAGTATTTCTGTCAAATAGAGGACCTAAGATCCAACATCGTCAGCATTTCTGTAAAGCTAAGTAGCCATAAATTAGTCATTACCCTTGGTGAGAACATCAACCTCCCCAGTATCTTCCCTTTCATGTACCTACAAAATGATCAAGTAGGGCCAACCATAATTATCATAAATTTCATAAAGCATAAAGAATATTAGACTTAAACCAGTGAATATGTGTTTCAGGAAGCATAAACAACAATAAACTGGTGAATATGTGATTGTGTGATTGACGGATTCAAGAAGTTTCTCTTTGGAAGGAAGGACAAGTCCAAGTAATTAATCTTATACGTTACTAAGATTCTTGATGCTCTCCACTTTTCACAATGTTGTCTATGACAATAAATCAATACAATTAGTTCAAGCAACAAAAGAGGGGTAGTGTCTGAAGGAGGAAAGTTTGCGTGTTTCATAAAGCATAAAGAATGTTAAACCTGTGAATATGAATGCATGTGTGTGCCTGAGGGATTCGGGAAGTTTCTCTTTGGAAGGAAGGATAAGTCCAAGTAATTATTACCATTATCCCAAGATTCATGGTACTTTCTAGTTTTCACAATGTTGCAAAAGGCAGAGGGTAAAGGAGGAAAATTCTAATGGCATTGTGTACTATAATGATCATTATCCCTCGTGATTAAGATATATAAAATAAGGAGAACTAAAAACAGACAGTACCCAAGTTCATAAAACCCAGGTATAGAATTTGGTTCATAGTCCCATCAAACTGCCTATGCACAATTTCTTATGTAATTCATGTAGTTACAGTTTGAAAATGCACTCCTTCAGCTAGACACTCATGAAATGAAATGGATCCTCCCATACAATGCTGTGAACCACTTCTCCATAATTTTCCATCCAAAAAGACAATTATGAGTCCCGGAGGTGCTTACCTTAATCACACGATGAACAATTGGAATCTCACGTCCCTAAATATATAAAAAAATAAATAATAAATAAATAAATATAGAGTACATGTCAATAAATATGTCAATAAGGATATGAAAGTACTGACAGAAAACAAAGAATCATAAAATGAATGTAACTAACTAGAATAAACAAAAAACTATTATTCTGAATTAAGCCATACACAATGATTATAAATCTGGGTACGCAAAATATGAAGAACCAAACCGAGAGAAAACTTACATCCACATTGAACACAACAATCTCCCCTGCCCGAATTGGATCTTTACTCATGTGCAAGAATAAGATGTCTCCCTGGTATACAGCACAAAACCCAACATTTATTAACACCAAAAAGAAACAGACAAATTGTATGCGTATATACACAGCTTCTGAAGACAAGATGATCGACATAAATACAGAATTATGACTACAAGAAACAAAATATACTGTTTGTCCTAAAAGAAAAGTCAAACCGCATTACTGACGCATTCACGCATGATAATGAAATTGACTTACCCGCTTGAATCCTGGTTCCATGCTTCCAGAAAGAACAACAACAACAGGAGACTCACTGCCAGTGATGCACATCAATGCCTTCCATATTATCAGTGCAGATGTAACAATCATGCCTGAGGCAGAATACAAACTAAACTACCTTAGTAAACAAAACTTGAATATATGGGCCAAGGAAACTAGGATGTTGACAATTCTTATTAAAAAATGAATTAAAACTTTAAGAGTAATAAACGATAAAACAACCCTATTTTGTTTGCATGATCTAAATTAACGTAAATGATATTGTGATCTCTTGGTAATCTATAGCCTGACAGTGTCAGTGAGTGGAAGCGTGAAAGATAAACGCCACAAGTCAGAACCGAAATTGAAGAAATTGGAGTTCCATAAGGAGGGCGAATCATGGTAGTGCAACTATTAATAGCGAAAATTAAGCAATAGGAGTTGTTGACATAAACCCTAAAAATAACGGGGGAGTGGAGAAGTTGACAGTAGAAAAGGGAAAATAGAGAGAAAGAGAAAAGAAGAACGAACCAAGGCTAACGGCCTGGGTGAGGACCTGGCGGATCTGAAGAGATTTGATGGAATCCACACTCTCGCCGATCCAACCCATTCTTGCTTTCTTTCTTCTCTGCTTCTCAATACCACTCACTCCCTCTCTGCTCTCTATGCTAATTTCAACACTTGACTCTCCTCTTCTCTTTTCTCCGCTTCAATTTATCATGTCAGAATCTTATGTATATATATATGCCATTAACATACCAATATTTTTCACTTTTACAATATTATTAGAATTAAAAAAAAATTTAAAATAAATTTTAAAAAGTGTTATTCAACTAATAGAAGAAAAAAAGTTTTTTTTAATAAAGAAACTAATGAAAGAATAATAAGAATTAAGATCTTCTTTTTTTCTTTTTCTTTTTTCATAAAATAATTGTATTTAAGGATCACATAGTTTGAGAAAAAAAATTACTACTGAAATAATAAATCTACACATGTAAATTATAATTTTAATAGTAAATTTTTAACATCCAAAAAAATTAGATATGTAGCCAACATAATATATGCTTATATATAAAGATAATATCTCATTTTAATTTTTTTTAATTAAACATTGCTATCTTTAAAATTTACAATTGACTTTATATTTTTTTTTATAAATTTTATAATCATCTATGGTTGTTACATAAAAAACTATCCTTATAATGATTATCTATTCTCAAATTTTAATATTTTGTTTCTATAACTTCTTACTTCTTTGATTCTTTCATCTACTAGTGGATATAAAGTATAAAATTGTTATGTTGGTTCACACAAATAATTAGGGATTTGGCTCGAACTTGCAACTTGCATACGATGGATTTGACACTCCCAAGATTATTAAAATCTTATTGATGGATATGCCTCGTTAGAGACATTCTTTGGCATTAGAAGTAGAAGTTAAGTCTTCTAATGAGTCTTTATTGATTCTCAAAGTAGACACTTATTATAATTTCAACTACCCACAAAAAGTTGACAGTAGTGCTTAATGATGAAACAGTAATGTCTCCTCATATATTTTTCAAAAGTCTTAAATTTTCTCAAGAGAAGTATAACTCCTTAAGTTCTTTCATCAATGAACTCCTCCTTGTGACTAGAATCTCACTTTTTGGCTCATCTCTCCACTTGAAGATTGATGTCTCAATCCATCTCTATTTTTGAAGTTTGCTTTCAAAATTTGAAGAGATGGAGAAGATTAAAGAAAGTAGGAGTCAAGAAAAGTGTGTGAGCTATGCTTCAATTTGTGTTGATTTTAAGAAAGTAAGTATATCATAAGAAAACCTTTAACAAGTTTTGAACCCTAATCTTAAGTTTTTTAAACCAACACAACCACAACTACACCATTTAATACTTTGTTTATAAGCTTAAATATGTTTTCAATCATTTAAATTTAAGGTAAATTTTTTTTGTCCCTCAAATTCAAAATTAATTTTTTAGTCTCTATAATTTTCAAAAACCTTTTTTTAGTTCTTCAAATCTGCAATAGCATATTTATAAGTGACAAATTGAGATAGTTATACATCAGAGTTTAATGTAATGTGTTTTCACTAACAAGGATACTAGCATAAAATTTTTATGTAATTGTATTTAACAGATTTTTGGACAAAATTTAAGTATAAGGACTACTTTTTTTTTTAAATTACAAGAACTAAAAAAATATTTTTAAATTTGAGGGACCAAAAATAAACATATATTAGATTTAAGAGACTAAAAACATATTTAAGCCTTATTTATAATATAAACAAATACAATATATGCATATTAAAAATTAGTGATACATATATAACATAAATAAATTTTATAGTATATCTTTATTTAAAATTATATATTTATTCTTTCGATTCAATTCTAATTTATTTCTTCGTACAAAAGAAAAATAAATTTTAGACTAGATGAAACTTGAAATACCAAGGAATGTGATTATTTAATCACTTTAATAATCACTAAAACAAGATGCTCTATTGTTATATATTTGACTTAAATAATTTATATAGCATGTTTAAATTTAAAACTATATATTAGTTTATTTGGTTAGTCCAGTCTATAATTTAGTTATTTTGTGAGTTATGTTGACTATATATCTTTTTTAAACTTCTCTTAAACATGGTATAGATTTTATTAAATTTGTAGGTGTGAAATATATATGATATGAATATTTTTTAAAGAATTAATGAGGATCAAGTCATACAATTTAATTAGTAACCTATTGGTTTGACTTCTAACCTTCTAATCGAGTACCTTAATCGGTTTGATAACTAGTCCAACTTTTGAAACTATGATTCCAATATGTCATTGGTTCCTTGTCTAGTAGTCATAAAGTATCATCTTATTTATACTATTTTATGTAGAAAAAAAAAACTTTAAACTTGGTGACTCCTTTGATCTTTCATCTCACTGTATAATTTTTCTTTTCGATTCTCTAACGCACACTAGCTCTTGGGTGGTATTTAACTCACCAATTTAGGGTTTAGTATTATTCCACCTAAAGTTAGATGAAATAGGTTGACCTAACAATAAATCGAGACGGTTTAGTCCATCAAATAAAATGGATTAAAAAATATAACCTATTATTCTTAACGGTGGGTTAACGAGTTGACCTATTTTAATAAATTGATGGGTTATTATGATAAGTATAAGTTAACATATCTTCAATTCATCATTTTTTTAAATCTCAATTGAAATATTTCAATGTACATTATCACTTCAATTTATAATTTTTTTATTTATAAAATTGATTAAAGAAATTATACTTGTACATACAAAAGACCAATGTAATATATATTTTTATTAAAAAAACACTATACATAAAAATATACTAGTAAAAATATGTGATTAAAATAATATATTTTTATTTTTTATAAAATAAAATAATTGCCTAACACAAAAATTTAAGTTATAAAAAAAAACATTAATCTAATATAAATTTACTATAAATTTAATTTTTAAAATATAAAATAAAATAAAATGAGTTAACATGAATTGATGTATCCAACTCAACTCGCCAAGGGAGTCAACTAACCCAATTCAATCCTCAATGTGATCCTACTCACCACATAGATCTAAAAGTACTTCCCTGTAAATATTGTACGAAACTATTTATACAAGCTTCTTTAAATCACAAACTATATACAACTTATGATAATTTTGCATTTGACTTCAGATAAATGAGATGCTCCAGTTTATATATATATATATATATTTTTCCTACCGTACGTATACAAAGAATGTTTTACGAGTTTTTATATTCTGCCATATTTATTACACAAAATTGTATTTAATATATATATATATATATATTTGTTGGATAAAAGAATCGACCTTGAATTTTCAATTAATTTTATGTGGTTCATATTGACCTTTTTATTTTTATTTTTTTTTATTTTTTTTTTTTTAAAGAATTTGATTTTTATAAAAGAATAATTTCTGTATGAAGAAGTGATAATTGTACTCTAATAATGATACAAATAAGAATGGATTCTTGTTTTAAAAATTCATATAATTTTTTTAATCGGAGATGAGCTAATATAATAAACATTTTTTTCTTTATGAAAACTTTTTTTTAAAACTAATTTTTTTTTTTTAGGTTCATTCCTGGAGTATCCACCGCCGACAGCAGTGACTAATCTCCTCGCTACGTTGGAGGCACCTTAAAGGGTAGGATAGCTGGCCCCAAGATGGTGATTATTTTAGTTTATTTATTTATTTATTTATTTTATATTTCATCGCAAATTAATTCAAATGATATAAGATTTAGTTCGAATCGAAGTTATCCGTGAAAATAATTTCTCTATAGAGATTTATTTTACTAATATATTTAATAAAAAAATAAATTATCTATACAAAAGTAAGTATTATTTTAATTAAATATTTATTTAATATGAGAGATAAAAAATAAAATAAAATAATACTTTTATTATTAATTTTATCCATCTAATTTTTACCTTTCCATTTTTCTAATACTAAATAAGTTATACAAAATTATAAATACACATCTTAATATAATATATCACACATTCACCACATTAAGATGAGAAATTGTCACTTTATTTATAAGAAAAATCTAATTTATAAAAAAATTAGATATTTTAATTTTTTCTCGTCATGAAAATATGTACAGTATTTTGTAAAAAAATAATTATATTTTTCTTATATAAAAAAGTATTATAGATTATTTTCTTGCTCCCACTTACAAGTAAAATATTGTGACATTGAAAAAATTAATTTAATGCATAAAAAAAAAAAACAGTTGTTGTTTTGTAATTGTATGTGTGTGAGGTGGTATGGTTGCAATTTTGGCCACAGGTGGCACCTCGCACGACACTTGTTTCAATGGCTCTTCAGCTTCCACCGCTTGCTGCTTCTGTTAGGCGCTTCAACTCAAGCGTCTGCTCGCTCCCTGCACGTAAAGTTAGTACCTTTGCTTCTCTGTCACCACCCCCAAGCAACACACCCAACTGGGTCGAAGCAACTTCCACTTTCTTCGACCAAGACAAACGACCCATCATGTTGTTTGACGGTAATTATTACCCCTCACACTCACTCATCCTTTTTCTTCATGCTACTGTTCCATCATAATTCTCGCTTCTGACACAGGAGTATGCAACTTGTGCAACGGGGGTGTCAAGTTCGTTCGTGATAACGATCGAAACAAGTTTGTGTTCCATCTCCTTTTCCTTGTACTAATTTCACCTTTTTTTTTATTTCCTCTGCATAATTTTATATTGAGGTTGTTTGTTGCTGCCCTGATAATAGAAAGATAATGAGCTCTTTGCTTTGTTTTAGAGAAAGCAAGAAGTTGATCAGGTATTTATTTCGTTTGTTTTATGCTTTATTGATGATTTTGGCAGGACAATTAGATATGAACCTCTTCAGAGTGAAGCGGGTAAAATGTTACTTAGGAGATCAGGAAGAGCTCCTGATGATATCTCAAGTGTTGTACTTGTTGAAAAGGACAGGTATGTGCTGTATGAGTGTTTAAGATTCACAAGTATTTGTAAATGTTTTAAGATTAGAGCCTTTAGTAGCATCTATCTCTACTAGTCGGTAATCTATTTGGTTGTGAAGAGCTGCTAGGAAATAAAGGTTTTCTGGCCTCAATAATTTTCATCCAAATAACATCACCCTGTTTCTGTTTAATTTTCCCTTAGCTTCTCAACCACATTAATTGATTGCTATAGTATTTGTGAGGAAAGAAGAAATTTATGTTGGCAAATTATAAGAAAGAAGAAATTGACAGTGAAACATATGCCTTCCTGGTTGATTCTAGATCCTACATTAAGTCAGAAGCTGTGCTGAAGATAATGGAATACATAGACTTGCCCTTTCCACAGCTAGCAATTCTTCTTCAATTTGTGCCTCTGTAAGTAGTATATTTTCCACTTGTTTTGCCGGTTTTATCATGTTAGTTAATTGCTTAGGGACGACAGGCTTGATGATATATGTCATGGTTGACTGCAGGTTAATCAGAGATTTTGTTTATGACAATGTTGCAAACAACCGATACCTCATTTTTGGTCGATCGGAATCGTGTGAAATATAGCATCATCCTGGCATCAGTACTGAAGATGATAGTAACATGCTAAGTTTAAAAACTGGGGTTCTTTATAGTTGAAGTCAGATCATGTTGTCCTCAAATCTTTTGATGTTTCGTACACCACTGTATAGAAACTATACTTATTGTTTTACTATTTGATAGAAGAAGAGAAGAGCATCAATTTATAATAATATTTTCTGTCCCAGATGACTTTGCGATGCAATTTTGATTTCAAGTAGACACTCCCAATTTCTTAGCTTCATCATGGCATTAATTTTCGAACTTTATTTTACTTTTTGAGTGTTAACTTATCTTTTTTAACTGTTTCCATGCAAACTGAATTCTGTCAGCCTTGTCTCGGATATTTTTTGGATTTGGACCATTTCCTGCTGTTGAGCTATAGAACATGGTCATGTTGGAGAATGGAAAGAGAAAAGACGCAATATTTTTATCAAATATAATTAATGGATTCTACAACCAATCACGGTGGGTCATTGATTGACACAATTTCTGTTTTTATGCTTCAAGAAAGAAATAAATTAAAACAAAGCCTCAACTCTTCGTAGTAAATGAAGGACTAATAGTTCCATTGAGAAAATGAAAAGCTATTCACTGGTGATGGATCTAGTTGTATTGAGATCCTCAAATCTTCACAAATATGTTCTTTATGTTAAAACGTAGATAGTTACATGGTGATGACATATTTCTATTTGGATTACGTAGATAGCTATTCACTGTGTCAAGATTCTAGCTACATTTTCCTTTTAAGATCGATTTGTTTTACAGGTTAAGCAAGAGTCATTAGAGTTGATTTAATAGTAATGACTGTACTGAAAAAGAAGAAGAAGAAGCAAAGGACTAGATCCTTAAAATGAATCTTAATTCTAAGTACGCAGAATAAGAAGTAAATATGCTAGCTATGTAACTCCCTTTCAAGCATGCCAGTAAGTTTCTGCATTTCTGCTTAAACAAAGAAATAAATAAAATCAAAACCCCTGTTTTTCTTCCTTTTTCTATTGGGTGAAATATTGGTTTCACCACACAAAAATGAATAACTATTCATTGTCGCTGGATTTAGTTGTGATTAGATCTACATGCAGCTGATTCTGGTAGTAGAAAACAGAAAAGGTTTGAATAAATGATGAGTAATACACTCGAACACTTTTTCACTTGGTCTGATAAATTAGGAGGTCAGCATACAAGAATTTCCTATAGGAAGCCAGATAGATACTTTTAAAGCGTGTCTTATCATCTCATGTGCTGGATTTTGGCCTTTTCTTCTGTATAGAGGACAAATAATCATGTACCTGGAAATCAGAAAGAGCTTCAAACCTGAATTCTGAGAAGCGATTGTAATCATGCAGATGTCTTAGGCAAAAGAAATTGAAGCGGAGCTTTATTTATCTGTTTCTGTAAGACATGTGTACTGGCACATACGCTTCTAGAAGGGAAAATTTTTGGTTTGTACATGCAAGCTTGAAGATCTGGCTGTGGAATCGGAACCCTTTATCGTGTATAACTGTCTACGAAGGTAAAACTATCCCGTGACTTCTCTATGTACAGCTTAGCTAGGCCATATGCATATCTGCCAAATTAGTCATTGCATCAGGTTCAGGTATGTTAGCCAAGGCAGGACAATATGCATTGTGACAACTGACAAGAATGAAAATCTTAACCATTTTTTACCCGACAAGTAAGATGATCACTGACACGACCAGGAAGAAATATTGATAGCATTTGTACTTTGATTTGCGTTTCACATCATATCCTGGAGGTATATATTTGCGATTTACGTATCCATATTGAGGGCGCATTAGAAGAACAAAACCGAGGAAAAATCCTGCCAGGAAGCCTCCAACATGAGCTGAATTGTCCACATGAGGTAGAAATCCAACAGCCAAATTTAGGCCAACAATGATCAATAGGCTCGATAGAGCTGCACACTGAAGTAAGCATCGGTTAAAATTTGTCCTTACATAGTACACATACACAAACTCAGTATACAATATTGAGAGATTATATAATGTACCTTATTTGCATAGATACTCCAGTTAGTTAGAAGCTCAGAAAGCATGGCTCCTAGAAGACCAAAAAGTGCACCGGATGCGCCAACAGATACGGTATTTGATTCAGTTTCTTTCAAATGCAAGATAGACAACAAACTTCCACCGAAACCAGAAAGCATGTATAAGAATCCAATTCTCACTGCCAAATCCAAGAGATTAGAATTTAGCTAAAGAAGATCATGCAGAGGTTCAATGTGCAAAAGTTCTGTAGTATGCCTTACAAAATCCAAATTCCTTCTCAAGCCGAACTCCTATGAATAGAAGACTAAACATATTGGCTAGTAAATGCACAACTCCAGCGTGAAGAAACATGCAGGAAACGAAGCGCCATATTTCATTCTGGTCCACCACTAAGTCCTTTTCAAGGGCTCCTAATAGCCGCAGCCTGCAGAAAGTTAATGCAATAGCCCCAAAAGATGAACGAACAAACCAAGGTGAAAGTTGACATTGTTTTATTCTTCATTCTTTCCCATGCATCATATTGTAGTTGTAGACAACAAATAATAATTAATTAGGTTGCATGCATCCCTAATTAATGAGAAAAATGTTGTTTCATGCACATTGTTGAATGTTCAATGTTCATCCATAATATAATGATAACATGAATTTAAAAATTTATGGTGAGAGAGAGATTTTTCTCACGTGCGGATTGCAGGGCCAAGGAGAGGGTTTTCCCTGAAGGGTTGGAAGGAGAATCTGCCCAGATATTCAGAGAAAAGGCAAACCCGTGCATCTAAGTAGGCAGGGCAATCATTTTCATACATGCTATACACGAACATTGCAATGTTGGCCAAAAAAATGAGTGGCACCAACCATGGGAACCACAGGCGAGGCTGTGGCACGTGAAAAGTAGGTGGCGGTGGCGGGGCGTAGCGGGCCGCCTCAACGTCGGACATGTGCGGCGGCTTCTTCCCCATGGTTGCGGATTGCAAGTTGCAACAAAGACACAGACACAAACACAAACTAAGAAATAGGTTGTTGTGTTGGCGCAATGGAACAGAACCTATCTTCCCTCCTTTGCGTTGGCTAGCTAGCAGTTAAATTAGGTAACTCATTATCCCCCTTATAGAATTTGTTACATTATACTATCATACCGTCAATTGCATAAAAGTAATTAATTAAAAGTCAGAACTATTTTGTACCTTGCCCTTTTCCCCCTTATTTATTTTTATTTTTTCTCATTTGCATCTCAATATCTATTTCGGTATAGCAATTAGTTGGTTGCAAAATAAGGCAACTCAAAAGTAGGACAGCGATTGATTGGTGTAATGACTAATGATACGTATCAGTTGACATATTTATATTTTCACAAAATTACTTAGATAACATTGTCAAATATAACTCCCATTCTTGTAATAGTAATTATTTTAAAATACAGAGCTCGTACACATATTATTTACTCCATGATCCAAAAACAAAAAAAAGTAGAAAAACTAAGAAGCATATATGGCAGCTCTGAGGACAACCAAACTATTGTGGAAGAGCTACTTCAACAAGCACTTTAGGGATGGTTTGGTGTGAGTGGCTATTCCGTGGGCATTATGGCAATAGGAAAAAACCTTCTGCTTTGGATCTGCTGACGTTATGTAAACATGATCAAACACAAGGTTGGAGCAGCCCACGTTTTGGTCGCAGCTCAAATTGATCGCCTTGTCCGTCAATGATGTTCCAAAAATTCCTTTGTAAGTCACATCACTCACCTTGATTGCTTGAGTCTGCTCATAATAATTGAAGAAAAATAACATAGACAAGTTGTTAATCAAAGTTGTATAAATGTAATTTTTTGGGAGCAAAATAATTAAGTTTTACGAAAAATATTCAAATTGGTACCTTGTTTTGGCAGTCAGATCTATGAGGGCAATAAAACTGGTCAATGATAATGGGGCTATTGGCTCGAACAAACTTGATTTTCTCAAAAGAGATCCTCCTAGCATATCCACCTCCACCCTAATGCAGAATAGCAGAGAACGATTATACTTAACATAATTTGCATAACACGTAACCAAAATTGCAAGCAAAAAATCTTACAATAATAGAGTTCTTAACAATTAATTAATGAGTGTAATAACTATACACTGATAGTATTAAATAATTTTACAATATCAACAAATCATAATTCATTGTTGATATGACTCTTAAGGTTGTATTATAAAAATCAACAAAATTATCATACATAGAGTTTTGATCATATGATTGTTTTGTCATGTAAGTGCATAGCCTATTTTATTAATTAATCATGGTTTTTTTAATCTGCTGAATTACCTGCCATGTCTTGATTCTCACTCCGGTTAATGTTTCAGTCAAAGTACAATTCTTCACATGCACGTCCTCTACAATATCGGTCTCTCCGCGTGTTCCCAACGATCCAATGCTACAAAAACGTTATTTCCTTCATCAGAGTTAACTGTATACCCGAAAGTAGAAAAGGAAAATTAAAAAATTAAATAAAAATATATCTTTCATCTTATTCTTAAGTTTATTTTTCACTATGTACATAACTGAAAGCGATCTATCAATCATAAATAGAAACAAGAAGAATCATCTCAAACAAATTAAGAGGCCAGTTAAAGAAAAAGTTAAATATTTTCCGTCCATGCAGTGAATACAAGAAGTCTGTGGTTTGTTGAAGCCAATTTCAAGCCAAAGCAAATGGATAATAATTAATCAATACGTTATTACTTATCACTGAAGTACTATAACTAACCTGATACCATGGCCTGGACCACATGTTATACCAGTTATATTGATCTTGGAGGATCCAGCACTAATAGCAATGCAATCGTCACCTGCAGTTAAACCATGTCATTTTTGTTTAACAGACATAATCATGTTAGGAAACAAGTTTGAGAAATTGAAAATTTTCATAAAAAATTTAGGATGTGACGTTCTGACATACAGATGTAAAGTTAATACCTGTTCCAATGAAAGAGTTAAGTACTCGAATGTCTGTTGAACCAGAAATATCAATGCCATCGGTATTAGGGCTTGTTCCAGGAGCAATTAGACGCAGCTTAGAGATGATGCCATTGTTGCAACTTGTTAGAGTCATGTGACTTCTTGCGGGATTAATACTTGTAAATCCTTTGAGTTGAAGGTGATAGCATCTATAGAATGTTAACGCCTATACATTCACACACACAAAAAAGATATATTTCAATTAGTTAATTGTTTCTTTGATATGGTGTTATTGTATTTAGTGTTTATGCTTATAATCTTTATCAAATCTGTGATGATCGATACTTATATGCATTACGAAATCATGAGAAGTGATATTTAATTTGGTAACAAATTGTCAACAATGTTACTTACTGTTGGTGGACGGCAGTTTGCCCCCTGAAAAAAGGAAAAACAAGCCATAAAAATTTGGTCTATGTTCTGACTTAATTAGTGAAAACAATAGAGAAAGCAAAAATAAAATAACAAGAAATATTTACTTACTGATTTTACATTTCCTATGCAAGGCTGTTGCCACCAGGCAGAGCCTTTACCATCGATAGTCCCTTTACCACTGATAATTAAACCATTGACGTATGAGAAGCCAAGCCATGTGTTCGTGTGGAATCCAGAATATTCCGATTTTGTCTCTGGTGCAACAATGTCCCCTAAAAGCTGATCAGAGGTCCCACAAACAGGTTAATTTTTACTATGACATATGATTCATTGCATGTTCATATCTCAAGTAATTTTTACATCACATTATGTCAAGTTTTTTAATTTACAAGAAAGAATTAACAATAAGTTACATGAAAGAATGAATATATGCATTTTTCAATATTTTTTTTTACTTTTGATTCCTTAACCAATGCTATTGGTTAGCATTTTTCCTTCTAAATCCAGATAACTAAAAATAAGTACCTGAATGTAGGTATAGTTAGATTTGCATGGACCACTGAAGGTAGTAGGCTTGAGCAAGAATGTTCGTTTTGCTGGTATGATGAGCCTAGATATATGTGATTTGCTCTGGCAAACATCTTTCCAAGCCTTCAGAAATGCCTGTTGAATGTTGAAGATTGAAACACAAAATATTTACTCTACATTTATAGGCTTCAAAAACATTGGCATATAACTAAACTTAAACGTGTTTGTAATTGCTAGATAATTGTAGTTATCATCGAGGAAATTGAAGAAATGTTTCAAACTGATGTTATGTATGCAGCACAATAATTTGAGGAAACTAAAATGTTATTATAATTTACTGGGGAGTCGTTGGTTTTTCCATCTCCAATTGCTCCATACTGCAAAACATTGAAAGTGGTTGTTGTGCTGCTCAATCCGGGTGTAACCACACTCAGAATTATCAACACGGTGAAGAAAAACTCCTGCATGCACAAAATTAACGTTTCACGTTGTTCTAAAGTTAACTAGAATGCGAATATAATAAAATGAGACTGCAGATTCTGACCATTATATCAAACTTTGGACTACTCTTGAACAACATTCTCAATGTTCATGTTATGAAATATGTATATGTATTCTTAAGTTTCTCTTCTATATATAAGGGCCACATAGTGTATTTGGAAGCAGACTTTAGACGCTAATTTGACATCTTTAATAATTAATACAATAAAACAACTTATTTCAAGGCTATAATTATTAGCAAGATAATAGTTTGATTTGTTAAATTTTCGTTCAGTGCATCAATTGAGACATGTAAAGGGTTGCGGAAAATTAAACTCCACACAATCTAATTGGAAAACACATGGCTTATGGTTATGGAGACTAAGACCTTGTTTGTTTTTGTAGTAAGCACATGAAGCAAATGCACATTCCTACGCCTTCTTTTGAACGTACATTATGCTTCTTCATTTACACTCAATACTGATCAATAGTAAACTTTGTAAATAGATCAAAAGATAGCTAACTTTGGTTGAAAAAAACCATCTTCTTTGATTTCAAACCACGTTCTCTGTTTTCTTTCCATAAGAAAGATAAATTTGGTCGGTTCTTGATGAATTATGGGTAACTCGAGAGTAATAAAAAATTAATTAGCAGGAGAAAATAGTTTTGCTTGTAAAGGATTTTCAAGCTACGTGCGTCCTAATTGTCCTCGCTTTCTTCTAAAATAAGATTACTTTCTTAATTAATTTTGGTTCTTCCTTGTTAGCAAATTGATTGGGTCTCTGGCCTTTTGGTTCAAACTAGTAACTGTGAAATATATATGTGGGAAAATAACTTAAAAAATAAAAAACTAATGTTTTAATAATTTAACTACAACATTATTTGCAAAAGTTCCTTCATGAAATTTGAACGATTTTTTTTTTTTTTTTTTGTGTGTGTCAATTTTGCTAATATAATATGAAAGATTTTACGTAAAAATGAATTGTGTAAAGTTTGAAAAGGACTGAAGTCCATAGTTCATTTTAGGTGTAAGATTGTGTTTTGACTTCAATACAATGACTTAATTTGCACATGGCCATGGTTGATATTATAGTAATTTTCTACTGAGGTACCCCTTTCTAGTTTTTATTTTTATTTTTATTTTTTTTAAGAAAAATTATTATAAAAGACATATTTAGAAATTATAATAGCTGTAAATATTTTATGAAAAAACAACTTTACTTTATTAGTAACTAACATGCTTTTACATAAGTTACTCTCATTCTTTTATGTTAAAAATACATTTATTTATAATATTATTATTTTTATTTGAGATAACACATAATTGATTGTTTGAATTTTTTAAAAAGCATAGAAAAAATAGAAGTAATCAAGTTGGGTATAGTCTTATATATATTACCTTTATTTTTAATTATAAGATCCTTTAACTAAATTACACCTAATTTAGTTAAAAATATTAAATTTCTCAATATTTTAAATTATTTTTTTCTTCAAAATTAACCTTATCTCTTTCCACTTAATTATTTATCACATAATTAATTAATATTTATAATTTTAAAATGTGAAATGATAAATATATTTAATTATTTTCCAACTATATTGTAAACAAAAAATTATTACATTTATATTATTTATAAACAATATTTTGAATATTTTCTACAAATTAATAAAAATTTATTGGAAGCTGACAAAAGGTTCCTTATCTTGTTTGCCTCATCTTGTCCTACCTCATCTCGTCTTGCATAGTAAAATGAGTTCAAAAAATTAATTCATATTGTTTAATAATTAAATTATACATATATATATACATATATATAATATTTATTGGAAATTAATTCAGAAATAATTAATTTATTAGAGACATTAAATGAAATATACAAATTCAAGCATTATAAACCTGAAAATTTTAAAATTAATACTTAAACAAATAAGATTTTTTAAAATTATCTAACTTAAAAGAAAAAAAATTGTTGAGAAATAATTATAAATTTAAATTTTTAACTTAAAAAAGAACAACTTATTTCTCAAGAAAAGTTTTTTTTTTTCAAATTTAATATTTTTCAAACATGTAGTCTTTAACAACATGTGAAAAATTTATTTTTCAAACATGTAGTCTTTAACAACATGTGAAAAATTTAGACAACGTAAAATTAATCATTATTGTTTTTATCTATAGAATATATAAAACTCATTTGACTTTAATAATAACTGCAACTGAAATTATTATATAGTAGTAAGACTATTTAAAATATAACCTTATGATAATTTTATATAATAAAATTATTATTACAATAATAAAAATTATTAAGATCCTAATCATGATAATAAATTAATTAACATTAAATAATATTAAATATCAAATTATACGAAATAGAAAAATAATTATCTTAACATTAATATATATATAT